CGAGAGGAGCTTGAGTCTCAAACTCGTTGGTTAGGGTGCGTATATGCAGTGGATGCGTAGCTGGCTATAGTAGATTGAGGTGTACCCTGTCAGGTCTAGGTACTCATGCCCACCTTTGGGTGCGTTATCGTATGTTGCCTTCTATTCAGGTTGAGACCCCTACTGTAGTCCAGTGAATGTCCCTTAGTATGGATATATATATATATATATATATATATATATATATATATATATATATATACACGACTTATATAGTTATTATTGAGTTGGTTAGAGTGTATATGCGTATCGAGTCTCTGCTTAGATTGTAGTAGGTTAGAACTTGTTCGTGGGTCTGACCCACTCTTACTTTTTCCAGGTGTACGTCAGTTCCAGGCTTGAGCTTGTTCGTGCTGGGCAGAGAAGATCTTCCATTCTACCGACGATGTAGGACTTCTTTCCAGATTTTTGATTTGGATTTTATCTTCAGTTTACTTTCATTCAGTTTGGTTTTTAGGGGTCCACTGGAGATGGATTCCCGAGTTGTTAACTTATGGAGATTTTGGATTATTAGGATTTAAGTATATTTAATATTAAAGGTTTTTATATTTAGTTTTCTTCCAGCTTAAACTTTATTTATCAAATTCATTTTGTCATCTGTGTTCGTATTACATATTAATTGTTTGATATTTCCCTCGGGTTTGGGCTTGGGCCTGATCAACCCGTGTCTCGGATCTGAGGGGTATCACACATAGACATGCATAAACTTCACTAAATCTAGAGAAAAGTACATGAATCATCCATTCTATCATACATAGACATATGGTTAGAAGTAGATAATCAATTAAAAGCATTAATCCATACACATCAAGTAAAAACTACAAGATATATTACAAGCAAATCTCCAAAAATATACAAAACACTAGGTCTATGAAGCAAACTTAGGGGCTATTCTAGCCCCAAGTAGATGTCTAGCCACTCATTGAAGTAGTAATCTAACCCTCAAGGGCTATCTCCATTGTAGGCATTACCTCCTTATTGATGAAAACCCTAGAAGAATGGAAGAACTCCCAAAGATGTGTAAAAGCTCTCTGGTCTTTAGCTTCCTATCCAAGATATGAGATATGAAATGTGTATTGAAGATATGTTCAATCTTCCAAAACTATGTGTAAAAATGGCTCAAAATCCTATATAGGAGGCTCAAGTGTCACACCCAATGGTCTGGATTCATGCAGTAGGGTCCTTGTAATGATTGCACTATGAGCCAACTTTTAATGAGCTGGAATTTATTTTTTTCGGACTTGAGGAGGTTCTGTGTTGAGATCGATCGAACATTGGTGAGATTCATTAAATGCTGTAGAGATCGATCCATCCTTGGCGGTGCCTTTTTGAATAAAGACAAATCTCTGAGATATTTTGGGAAAGAGACAAGAGTGGTAGATAGGGTGGTAGGTGTGGATAAGATCAAATATTTTCGATTGATCGAAGAAAAGTTGGATCGATCGAGCATGGTGGAATCTTTTGAATAAGGATAAAGGTTTGGATCCATCTTGAAGTGTCCAGATCGATGTTGCTCTGATCGATCGAAGGAATGTTGAGATCGATCGAAGTTACTCTTTTTCCACACTTTGCTTCATTTTGCTTCCACTTTGCTCCTTTCTTCCATTCAGCTTGGGATTGCTTCTTTTAAGCTCTTATTTGGCTGAATTAACTTATTTTTGGGATAAGTAACTAAAAAGGGCAATAACATGAAATTAGTCTAAAACGGGAAAGTAAGATAGATAAAGGTCCTAGAATACCTAAGCTTAAGGGGTTTAATTGCGCACTTTTCAGCGCTCATCACATCATTCACAATGTCATTGAACGTCGTTTTAGAGTACTAAAGGATCGTTTTCCCATTTTAAAGCTTATGCCTTACTATAAGTTCGTTAGACAACGACTCATAATAACTGCTTATTGCACGATTCACAATTTCATTCGTCAAAATATATTAATGATCGTTTTTTTATGGAGTATGGGGAAAAAGATGTTAATATCACTGATGAGGGGAATGGTAACAGTAGTAATGTTAGTGTACTGAATGCACTTAATTTGTCTGATAATGGTGCAGCACAAATAGGAGCCCTTAGAACTCATCTGACAAATCAAATGTGGGCATCATTCAGAGGCAATGGTAGATGAAGTTATTTTTATAATTCTCCAATGTTTTGCTTTGATTACCTATTTGTGTAATTCTCTAATATTTTGTTTTGGTTATGTATAACTAAAACTAATGTTTGTACAACTAAAAGTGCATATGACACTTGAAGTAATTAATGTAACTCTTTTATTGTATTTCAATTTAGTCAAATTTTAATTAAACTTGATATATTATATTTGTGCAACTTTTATTAAGTATACTTGTTAAAATGAATTCACCTCCAACACTTATTTAAATATATATATATATATATATATATATATATATATATATATATACATTAATAGTTAATATCATAAATTAAAGAATAAAAGAGTGATGTACAATAATATTTTTATTTATTTTCTTAGTTCAGAAAACTATTTTAAAAAACTTTACAACCAAGTAGTTTTATGAGTTTTTGTTTTCCGGAAACTGTTTTGTAAATTCTCTTAACCAAGCAGGCTTGAAATCTGAAAAAAACTGTTCTCTGAAAATTGTTCTTGAGAACTGTTTTTGAGAACTGTTCTTTGAAATGCAATCCAAGCATGGCCTTAGTTTCCAAGCAAGCCTCTAAAATTGAACGGGGTTAGTTGAGTCTGTCCATCTTTTTTAGAATAGTCTCCATACTTTTCACTAGTACAATTGCTTAACCGGGATTTTTATTTTTTTACTTTTTTTTTTTTCTAAATTATAGATTGTCCAATGACATCTCTTCTACCTCTCGAAGTGAATAATGAAGGTTCGAGTTTCTAAAGGAGTGAAACGAATGTGTGAATGTGGTGTGTGTTAATTTCTTGCCCATAACAGAAAAAAAATATAAATAAATAAATAATTAGTGGTATACTCGTATAATTGATTGACATTTGGGCCTGGTTTTAGGTTGGGTTTGTTTTTGTTATTGAATGTGTATCATGATTTGATTTCCTTGAATTATATATGATTCACAAACACCATTTGAATCCTTCACCGGAGGCAATGAAGCTCTACAAAACAACCTCTACAAAACTACATCTTTTGATAAAAATTATTATTTCGCTATCCTTTCAAAACAAAACCACCATTTCATAATAAAACACTTCAATTCAACAAATTTAAAATATTTTTATATTTTCAAAGTTATAGGGATAATAAAATTGTGGCGTAACAACGAAAAAATAAAAAAATTCTTGAAATAAAAACTATGAATAAACAATTAAAATATAAAGTCACTCTACTTATAAGAGAAATCAATAATCAAGAATGTGGTGGAGGTAGAAGTCCTTCTCCGCAGAAGGAATAGGAATGTTTGTGTGTATATTTTTTTGTTTCTCTCCCTACCGTGTTTGACTTTTGAAAATGTTTTTTAAGGGTAATATAAATCTTTTTGTTTCAATATGAAGAAAACAAATATAAAAGCCTCTCTATTCAGAACCTTAATTTGATCCATCATATGATAAAGCCTCTCTACCCTGTGTCAAATAGAACACAAAGCCCTTCAATTCAACACATTAATATAAACAAAAATTAATTTAGGATATCAAATTTGAGAAAAATATATATATATATAATATTAAAAAATCTAATCAGTGAAAAAAACACATTAATATAAACAAAACTTTTCAATTTCACAAGTCTAAATCTTTTAACATTTCAAGGTGAAAGCAAAATTGAATTGTGAGAAGATGTTTCTTCAATTGAAACTCGGGCCTATTTTGAGCCTTAAGCCTTTCATTTGTTGTTTTGCTTCTATTGGGTTCCAAGTGGGCCTTTAAAACTGATCAGGGCTAGTTGGGCGTGTCCATATTTTCTATAATAGTGTCTATTTTTTCACTTGTACAATTGTTTAATGGGGATTTTTATTTTTTTAGATCGCCAATTGTTTTAAATTTATCCTGAGTGTAATTAGTAGTCAAGGATCTTGTGGCTCAATGTTTGTTTGTTTGTTTTTTTTTTTTTTTTTTTCCTCCTTAATTGGTACTCACACACACATACTTTCACCAAAACTCAAACCCTGACCTCTTTTTGAAAAGTAGGAGCCTGATACCACTAAATCACTGGCATGCTGCTGCTCAATGGTATATCCTCTATCTCCCAAAGTGGATGGTAAGGGTTCGAGTTTCTAAAAAAATAAAGTGAATATGTGAGTGTGGTGCATGTGAATTTCTTATCAATAAAAAAACAGTAATTAGTGCTCGCATATAAGTGTATAATTGATTGACTATTGGGCCTGGTTTTAGGTTCGATTTGTTTTTGTTATTGAATGTGAATCATGATTTGATTTCCTTGAATTATGTATGATTCATAAACACCAATTTTTTGTGTTCTTTTTTGCCAGGACTCTACTTTTATGGACAAATGATAAATTTTCAATAAATGGGTAGCAAAGAAAAAAAAAAAAAAATCAACGTCAAATCAATGACTCATTCCTTCTAATTAAGATGTATATATAAATATAGTCTAAACGTAGTTTTATTAATAGCATAATTATATTAGTAAGATTTTAAGATATATAGATTGATTTGCGAGTGTTATATGTGGGGCTTCAAATTATAATATTAAAGGGGGTATACATTTAAATTAATTTATACTAACAAGTATTCTTGTAAATTAAGTTGAAAACAAACTAAATTTACACCTTCGAGAAGAGCAAAAGATTAATTGGCACCAACCTAATGCCTCGAACAACCACAAGCTCTCACGAGAACAATACTGATTGATCTAATTAGATTTTTTTTCTTCTTCAAAATAAAAAACTTAGTTAACTTCTTAATTAATTTAAAAGTAAAATTGTCATGAGTGAATGTTGACGAAATAATTTGTGCGATTCACAAATAAAATATTTCTATTGATCACGTCTCATTTCTACGTTCTCGAGTATTTAAGTAGCATTACTCATGCTCTTAAGTCGGCAACATCTCAACAACAAGCTCTCTTCTGGTTATCATCTGGAAGCTAGCTCATCACTATATAAAATTAATTCACCAAACAATTTGAGACAGTAATTAACAACAACATGACTAGCACTGTAAACAATTTATTAAAGATGATATTTAGACTTAAATATATTACCTAGTTTCATAAATCCAAAAGGAATTGCGCCCTTTGGTAATTTGTACATTAGAAGTTTGAACATTTTATAATAAAATACTGAAAAAAAAGGCAAATATAACTTTAAATAAGAAACAGTACTCTAGGTTGATAATACAAACATACATATATATATATATATATATATATATATATATATATATATATATGGTAAGAGTTTGGACCAACTCAAAAGCCCTAAAGGGTAACTTAAAAGCTATATATACATATATATATATGGTAAGACTTTGGACCAACTCAAAAATCCTAAAGGGTTAACTTAAAAGCTATATATATATATATGGTAAGAGTTTGGACCAACTCAAAAATCCTAAAGGGTAACTTAAAAGCTATATTAGTAAAAAGACTAGGGTTCATACTATATAATTTAAACCATGTCCCATGTGGAAGCAGGAGAGAGAGCATCAATTGGCCAGAGTTAGGTCATTCATCTATCTGGTAATAGCTGAAATGCAGCTTGAGCTCCTTGCTATCCCACCTTTTTTCATAGAGTACTTAACCCTAATCCCTTTACCTTCCAACCTTGTGCTTTTCTTCAGGATCTCTCTCATGGCCTCAGCTTGGCAAAGAACAGGATAAGCCCTAAAAAGCTTATTAAACCTAACACATGCACTCAAATGAACACTCAAAGCTTCTTCGCTTTTCCCTCCATTCTTCTTCATCTCTTCCTTCACTGCCTCACCACACAACCCGCATATCCACTTCCCGGAGAACATGCCACGAACACGGTCAATGTACTCGGGAGTGCACTCTTCACTCATGCCACAGCACTCACACTTTGCATCTTCCACCTCTGATATTGGTGGAAGTTCAATAATATTTTCCATCATCTCTTTGCTCAGCTCTGATGAGATGTCAGACACTGTTCGGTGGAGGCCAGTACCGGTGGAGAGACGTGGTGGCTGCTTGTTGAAGCTGCTGGTCTGAGTGTAGGAGCTAGCAATAGACTCTCCATTTGGCGGTGCCATGGTGATAATATATGGGAAAAAAGAAGAAAAAAAAAGAAAGATGAATAAAAACTTAATTTGAAGCTAGGTGATTGAAACTTGGGATTTTCTCATTATGGGAAGAAGGCAAGTCCTAGACTCTTACTTATAATGGTTTTCATCCCTATCTTTGGATACCAAATTGTAGATTTTGTGGACCATTAGAGTTCTCATGTCACTATTAATGAGTGCAAATTGGCATATATAGTAATCAAAGTGTGATGGATTTTCAATGAACGGTTGAAAAGAAAAGTAATTTCTCTTTTAGGTGTGTAGGACAAGTACCATCTATCCAATTATGAGAGGGAGGAAATACATGGTTTGTAATGCATATCATACTATCAAAAAAATGTCCTTATCGATCAACATGCATGCAAATGAATGCAACGCAAAGAAGGAAAGCATGATTACCACTTCAGGCCAGATTGCTATATATTAGTATGCATGAAGTTTTTAGCATACATATATATATATATATAATGGGACTCGAACCTTCACTATCCGTCTTTGAAAAATAGAGAAAATACTACTATGCTACATAACCTTTGGTAGGTCATGCGATAGCATTTTAATTTATATTTTCTTTTAACATCTAGTATGTCAAGAATGAACATGTAACTCCTTAGAAAACTAACTACACATTTTCCTTACTTTCATGTGTACAAGCTAATTTACAGATGCAAATCATGAATCTCCATCAAATCAGAAATCAAATTATTAGTATTATTTTTCCTATCAGAAATCAAATTCAAAACCTCAAAATTGAGAGAGAGAGAGAGAGGTCGGTAGAAAAGGCATCAGAAGTAAATAACTATAAAGAAGGAACATATGTTTTCATGGAAAATCACAGAGATCTTCGGAACAAAGATAAAAAGGTGGCTTTAAATGTGACCTTTTGTGAACAGTTACCTAAAACCCTAACAACTACTGTCTTTAACAATGCCAATATAGTTGATAGGCTTGATCTTTATAATGTCATTGTCATTGGCTGTAATTGTACTCAGCTCTAAAGAATCATGTGACTGATGGCTACTCGAGGTTAAACTATCCTTAACATCCATCATCCAACTATCCAGGTGGAGGTTGGTCGGCTCGTTTTGAGAAATTGGGCTCCTCATAGACACATTTTATAACAGTGTGGGCTGAAATGGATTTGTTGAAATGTGTATTTGGTGGGCTATTTTTCATGACCAGCTCATTCAAATTTGGTGACAAATAAATACTTCTCTGAACTGTTCTTCACTTTTTAATTCAAGAGATGGGAATACATTTTGTACTTCAACTGCATTTTGCAAACCTTGGGCATTTCCTCACAAACACACACAGTACAAATGCATCATTTTGATGAGTCTATCCTTCTATAAGTGGAGGAGCAGAAAGTGGACCAGGCCATATTTGGGTCGGTCCACTGAGTCCAGAAGATTACTGGGCTGTTGATCCACTTTCAGAACAACCCGCCAGCGTTGCAGAAGGGATTTCCATTGACTACGGCCCAAAGGAGAGACCCACTAAAGATTGGCCCTGGTTTGAGAGTTTTGGGATAGGATTTAGGGCAAATGTACAATATAAATAGAAGTTAAAGAAATGGAAAGAGGCAGATTGTGTGAAGTGTAAGAGAATACTTTCTAAATACAGAGAACAATTCCTTGCATCTTCAATAAGCCTTGTTACAAATTTACAATACAATTTTCGAAACTGTGATTCAGTCTTCAAGTTTGTAATTTTTCAGTAAGATATGAACTACAACTTATTCTTATCCTGCCTAACATATCAAGTTCTTCACCAGATGGATTGAAGCAGAGCTCAATTCTGCAACTAGAATTTCAAAGCTGTGTTACCCATCACTTCTTTCACTGCCCTGAGAAGAATTTGCAAACTCTGCACTAAATATTTACCACTTGGATCATATGGTTTAGGCTGTCCAAAGTGTATCATAAGAAGTTGGATTTACAAGATTTAGGGCATCAGGTGGAACCCCGTTCTCATCATGAAAACCATAAAATCCTCTTTCATTGTCACTTTCTTCCCTGCCAGTGTCATGTTCTTCTTCCACTCTGTCTCCATTGCTCGGTGACTCTTCTTCTACCTCACCGCGCGTTAATTCCTCGTGTTTGTCTTCAAACTCCACTCCAGCGTCCTCCTTGGAGTCCCTATCTAAGTCCCTGCCGCCATATTCTCTGCCTTCACCGTCTTCCCATCCAATTCGATCTGAATCTGTCATAGCTCCATCTTGGAACCCCACGTTCTGTTTTGGTCCCATAACTGTGGTTGCATGTTCATTGCGCAGTTTTCTATGGGTATTCACACCATAACTGTGAGGATCATCGTGTGGATGATGATTGATCTGGTATACCAGCCAAAGGCAAACCACCAAAAGGAAAGCAACTTGAAGTGACTTACTAATCTTGGACCCTTTGGTTCTAAAATTTCGATAGATTGTTTGGTAAATCATCAAAATTTGTTCCATTAAATCCCTACAAACAAGACACTCAGAAATTAAGCCAATACCATGTAAATATTATATACAAACATATTAACAAGAACATATTTTTAGAGAACACACAATAAAAAGCACTTCCATACCAGATAATTACAAGAGAACTATATATGAAATTCAAGAGAAAAAATTATTGAATTTCTCATGCAACTTGTATTAAAGTGAGTAAAAGGAAACTAAAATCAGCTAAGCATGAATGGTTACAACAATTGATCAATCTAATGAAATGAAGAAAACAGCCAATGAAAACATTAAAATCGAAAAACATAACTTGATTAAGATAAGAGCTAGAATGGATTACCGTTAACGATGATCGGAAGAAAATTGAAGAAAGCTAGTGATATAGATCATGTGGAAGAAACCCCAATTTTATGTCAAATTCCAAATAGAGAACACTCAAAGATAAGGGAGTTGAAATGTGTAACAGAGTATGTAGTGTGGACCTGCCAAAAGTTGCAAAAGTTCAGTTTGCCTTTCTCTGTGGACTACGAAAAGTCGTTGGGGTTGAAGCGGTTAATTTATGTTATCTTGTTTCCGGAAAAATCCCTTGTTTTTTTCGAAATATACAATACTGTCCAGTGTAATTGAGAACACTTATTGAATGGTCTGTGGGGGGTATTTATGTGACAAAAAAATCATTTATTGAATGGCCGCCTTTGACCCGTTAAAATCGTTTTTTTGTTTTTTCAATCGCAACTTGTTTCCGGAAAAATCCCTTGTTTTTTTCGAAATATACAATACTGTCCAGTGTAATTGAGAACACTTATTGAATGGTCTGTGGGGGGTATTTATGTGACAAAAAAATCATTTATTGAATGGCCGCCTTTGACCCGTTAAAATCGTTTTTTTGTTTTTTCAATCGCAAAGTCTATGGTTCTTTATAGACGGCAATTTTGCAAATAAGGTCAAAAGACTCGAAAGTCTAAAATAATAATAATATTTTTCGTACGTTTTATTAATATTATGCAACATTCAATCCCATCCACCTAGCTTATACATTGTATTAAACCCATGTATTAATCTACTAGACCACAGATCAATTCCAAATATATAATACAAATTCAATGTCAATTCTTCTATAAACCATCATGATTATTAAAATAAAAATTAAATGATAAAATTACGTACATTTAATTCTCTTCAAATTTCCTAATGATAGAAATATTTTTTTTTTTTTTTTCCTTCCTGTTTAGATAGACCGAAATCGAAAAAGAGAGAATACCCAAAATCAAAACGAATTGTGCAGCTTCATCACTGCCCAAAAACTTACAACTGATATGGGTGATATATATAAATGAACGGAACAGAGAGTACGTACTGAATCGAGAGAAACATAAATAGAAATAAATAAACCGAAGAAGAAATACTGAGAGAGAATTGGGAGAGCTATATATTTATATATATATATATATATAGAGAGAGAGAGAGAGAGAGAGAATACTGCTTTACAGAGAGAGTATACTGTTTTTAGGATTTTTTTTAGGTATTGAAATTATTTCAGTTTTGAGCAGGTATTGGGTAATGGGTACTGAGTGCCCCGAACCAATGGGGAATTGTCATTTTCTATCACAAAGGGAAATATAGTAATTAGTTTGGGATAGTATATATATTCAAGGTGTTCCGGGGTTTTGAAAATTTTACGGTTTAATAAAAAGTTGACGTGGCTTCACCGCATGCCCATGGTAATGTTGAGTCTTTACCAATAATCATACCGAAAAAATTTCTGAAACAAATATAAGTAATAATATGAGACGATAAACTCATTTAATCCAAATTAAATAAGAATATCATTTGGTCAAATAGACAATCTAGAAAATGTTAAAATCACGAGATATAATAGTTTTTTAAAAAATTATTGTAAATCAAATATATGAAATTAATGAAAGAAGAAAAAGAGGTGTGTAGAAATTTAGGTAAGAAGAGATTTTAAGAGAAATAAATGATTCAATGATTTGATCAAAATTTGAGAGAAAGTAACTGTATCTACTCAGGTATTATAGTGAAAGTGTATTGAATCAGCAAGTATCTTTATTATGAGCACCTTATTATGTCTTTACTTATAAAGGACCAACGGACATGATTGTCATTGCAATAAAAAGAGTTTGCTCACTAGTAATTTATCATTTTTGAAGTAAAATGATAAGTGATCGACTGAAACTCTGAAATGACTCAATTATTATTTTTTAATCGAAATACCTAAGTAATAAGAAATAATTTAACTAATAAGAAATTCACTCTTGATATAAGTTTCTATAAAAATGAGAAATGCCCAGTCTATAATTGATCAATCTAAATGAATTGAGATATCTTAAAGCAGTCAATGGCACATTGCAAAGATTTAATCAGAAAACATAATGTGTTCAAGAGGATTAAATTATGCCCTTATTTTATACACACACACACACACACACATATATATATATATATTTGTTTTTCAGTAGTTTGAAGGACAGTTAGAATGTGACGAAGTAGTAGCTTATTTTCTTTTAAAAAGTGAAAGGGAAAAGAGTTGGAATTGAATTTTAGAAACGGCCCAAATTGGCAGAATATGTGCCTTATATTATCCCGACCTAGATCAGTAAGACTACTACAAAGAGAGGCCCAATAACCTGCAATCTTTAGCAGGCATAGGAAAGGCCCAACCTGCTGACAATGAAAAGATGATGATTTGAGGATCTGGTTTACAAACACAGCCCATTAGGTGGAAGGAGCCCAGTTAATGCAATCCTCTCTTTTATATATCTTCAGGTTGAGAAAGTTTAGGCCCGGAAACGTAGCAGAGAGTCTTCGCGGGCAAAAGAGGAAAGCAAAATTGTATTTTTATTTCTTCCCCAATTCCCAGTTCTAACAAGTTCGTCATCTCTTTTTGCATCCTCCAAGCTCAAGCTTTTCTCACTTTTTCTAAAGTTGAACCTTTTTTAGTTTTGACTAGTATTTTTCTTTGACTAGTGGTTCATAACGTGTCTCATGAGCCAATTATAAAAAATAAAAATTAAATGTACAAAACATAAATGACATATATATTTTTTAATTAACTCACTTAAAAATCTTTTTAAGCGATCAATTTACTTTGACAAGATGACATTACATATATTTTAGTATTAATTTAATAGAAATCACTTAGGAATCCTTATTTACTATAATGTAAACACTAAAAAATAAATTCATCAAAAAATATTTTTAGGCAAAAATAATTACAAATTTGTCAATTTTTATTATTCATGAATGCATGGAGACCAAATTATCCTTAACTACTTTTTAAAATTTATTAAACTAACCTTGCGTCTCTTTCCATCTCATCTCTCTGATTTACTCCTCTTTCTCAGAACTAGGATACACTTCAACTTTGCCCCTCTTTTGCTTGATAGCTCGGTTTTCTTTGAAGATGGAAAACCCAGATTTCAATTACTCTGCCAACGTCCTATACTGATAATGATCCATTTTTTGGCAACTAAAGTCTTCTTTCCACTAAAGAATGGAATAAGGGTGTTACAATGAACATCATCAGATGATTCCAAACCCAACCTTGAATCCTTTATCTTCTGCTCTGGCTCCGGAGGGCTTGCAGGAGGCAGTCATAGCTATTGAGTGGTGCCGGCGAAAACCAATGATCGTTGGCGTCCATGGTGCTTGTGTTGGCGGTGGTGTTGACAACTCATCATTACAGCCTATATATATATATATATATAATTGCAGAGTTCCGACGTGGGCGAGATGGAGGAAGAGGTAGCAATGGCGGCGGTCGTGATGGTGAATGAGGTAGTGTGGCTGCAGCTGCGACAAGTTCAGAAAAAAATCGGAACAATCAGATCTGAACAATTTAAACCCAAACCTAAAAAACTTGCTTGAAACTTCAAATTTCCGTAAATAGATTATGATTTACTTCTATTCTTGGAATTTCCTTACCTGTAATGATAACCATGGCTGAATAGAGACCTACAGTTTTTGCTAATGCGTTTCTTTTGGCAAATCCCACGTGATGAAACTCAATTCAAGAAGCATGTTCATGCAATACTTAAGTGCATTGAAGTTTTACTTTGTTTAAGTGTTAGTTTTACATTCTTAAGCGTAAGTCTTACATTGTTCAGCAAAGTTTTTAAATTACTGTAGTTATCGTTTTATTTTGCTTAAGTACAAGTTCTACAATATTCAGTAAAGATTTCACATTATTTAGTAAATGTTTTACGTTGCGGTTCTTAAAGGTAATTTAGTCTCCATATATTTTATGAACAGTGAAAAGTGACGTTTTGTAATTATTTTTGCCTAAACTGATTTTTGATGGGTTTATTTTTAAGTGTTTACACTATAGTAATTAAGGTTAAGGCTTCCAATGGGTGTTTTTTTATTTATTAAATTAACCCTATATTTTATTTTCTTTCAACAGGTACGATGAACTTTATTTGCAAGAAAAAAAAAAAAAAATATATATATATATATATATATATATAGAAATAAACAATAAAATCATGAATATTGTCACGGGCTTAAAGTTTCAGCAACACTCTAGTTACTCCTGTGCGGCACCAAGACATTACTTCTACTTTCACAAGTACTTGGTCAGCCTAACTCTAGTGCCCACCTTAGCCAACACACTCCCCTCGTGCACTTACTAGTGTTGTAGTGGCCCTCGCCTTCTCCTCACTTGGCTTGCATACTCACACACACTAAGGCACTTAAGTTGATAAAGAAATAACACTACTATTACTTCAAAGAATGTTTTATACAAGGCTAGCTCTCAAACTCTCTACAAGGCTTTCAAGACTCACTTTAGGACTTCTTGGCTACAAAATGAAGTCTTACTCCTATTTATAGGTATCTCCATCCCTAATGGATGGCTATGATGCATTCTCACCAACGGTAGAGATCGATTTTCTAAAATCTTCTCCCACCTTCTTCACACTTCCATACTTATCCACAAGTATCTACAATATCTAAAACTCTCCATACTGCTCCACACAATTCTGGAGAACTTTAGAATATACTACACATATCTAGAATCTTCCACACAACTCTAGACAACTCCGGAAGACTCAAGAAACTCCACTCACCATGCAGTTGCCATGCAGCGTCCTCCTCAGCGTCTGCGTGTCGCCTGCGTAGCACAACCTCCATAGGCGAGAAGTGACAATATGCTCTCTTAGAGCCTATTGTTATATAATTCTAGATATTTTTCTTGTAAAATAATTTTAAATTAAACAATACCAATAAAAATTGTTATATAATTCTAGATATTTTTCTTGCAAATATCATTTTACAAGAATGTATGACAAAAAATGCTTGAAACTTTTTTATTAAACATAAGTGAATAAATTAATATTATAGATATTATACATGTTTATATGTAAATAAATTAACAATGTATTCAATAACAATTATAATAATAATGAGCTTTTTCACAATATTTAAGTTTTTAGAAGTATAGATAAAATGGGTTTAAGCTAAACTTTTTAAAAATTTCAATTAGACACATACTAAATTTATATTCATTTCGCTTTCAATCTGAATCCAATATGAGACAAGTACTTCTTTATAAATTAGAAAAGAACAACAAACATAAATTAACCTTGCTATTCGGATTGTAATTGAACGAAATGATCACTGAATATGAAAATTTTCTTCTGAATGGCTCCCACTGTTGCAATTAGTACTAGTATTATTATTATTTTTTCCCCAGATTCTATGTGTTGTTTGTGTTTTGGGTTATTACTCTCCATGATGGTTCTCTTTGGGTCCTTTCTCTAGACCCAAACGGGAAAGTTGATTAAAAATAAATAAATAAATAAATAAAAAACCCAGTATAAAAGACTTTTGTTTGCTATACGTTGAACATCAAAATGGGGTAGCCTGTTTTCTTAAGGAGTAAGTAATTCACCAATTAGGCAACACGAGAAACGAGGAGGGTTCATGATTTTTTCATGACAAATGTTACAGCGGGGACACGTGCATGTCTTTTTCCCAACCAAATACTTAACCTTTTTCAAGGGAAGAAGTAACCTCTTCTTCGCCTCTTTCTGCCCGTCATTGTGCTATGGAACTTTCCGGACCACCTGGTGACAAATAAACGTGGATCTGCTTGAATTATTTTCTCAAAATTTAATTTTGCAATTCAATAAATAATAAACTTTTTGAATGTGAGATGTTTTGCTCTTCGATTTTAAATTTATGAGTTTGTTTTGATTATTGTAATATATATGTATATGTAGCATACATGAAAATGCTACTAATTTTTTTATCCTTATCTTTTTTCCCTTTCTTTTAATATTGTTTTATTGATATTTTTGTTACATCCATGCACATTCATATATCCATTTCTATCAACAACGCCTTTTAATGTTAATTTTTTAATAATATTTCAAAGAAGAAAAAATATCATTTGAAATATACTTGAGCACATTTTGAGAACTTTAATACTCTGTTTTCAACTTATTATTATTTTTTTTAAATAACTGTAGTGTTGGATTTCTTTTTAAAATGTGAATGTAAAAATGTACCATTACATTATAATCCTGTGTATAATAGAATATTAATTGCCTTCAGAGGCATAGTGGTACTGACAATGATTTAAAAGGTAAGTTTTTGAGGTCATACTTTTGAATCGCACTCCTGACTTAAATGGTGCGTATATTGTGGAACTAATACAGATAAGGAATAATAATACTAATAGAATATTAATCAGGTATAATCAAATCAATTGCATGGAACACGTTGTCGGCAATCATTTAATTTAATTAAATAATAAAAAATCAAATTAAAGTCACAATTGACAATTCCTTAATTTGAGCCAAAGTAGGTTGCTTCGAGCTCTTTCTAATGACACTTGACCATTAATAATTGAGCCAATAAAATATAGAGTAAAGTAACATGAAATATCTATGCACCAATTCCCACTTTACTTTTGAAGTACAAACTTGTGTGTCATCTTCCTCCTCCCCAGCTGCCTATATATATGCCGCGCTTTCTCTTGCTTCCAGTCGTCGAATCAAAAACCCTTCTCTTCTCTCTCTCATACTTTCTCTCTCTAAATCTCACTCCCTCTCCCCTTTTTCTCTAAACAGAAATTCTCTCTCTCTCTCTCTCTCAATACATATATTGTAGAAATGGAACCAAATGTACCAGTGGTAAGTAAAAGAGTATGGAACATAGTACGTGCCTTGTTCTTCATGCTGAGGAAGGGCATATCAAAGCGAAAGCTGATGGTCGATCTCAACATGATGATGAAACGTGGCAAGATCGCAGGGAAGGCCATTGTACACAACCTCATGTTCCACCACCACACCGGATCCACCTCCAACACCCGCTCACACGAACGACACGTGTCCTCCTCCGACCCCCGCGAGTACGAGTTCAGTTGCAGTAACAGCCCAGCATTATTCCCCTTCCAGGTCAGCAAGCTCAAGCACCACATCCTCCACCACTCTAGCTTCTTCGCCTGCGCTCACGCGCCGCAAACCGACGACAACGACGCCACCACCGTCAACGCCGTGATCAAGGCTTTGGAGGTGCTCAACAGCGAGGCGGCCTCGCCGGCGCTGCCGGGTTTCGGGAGGACCCCACTGGTGAGGCAACTGAGGATAACCGACTCGCCGTATCCGTTGCGTGACGGGGACGAGGATAGCCACGTGGACCAAGCTGCTGAGGAGTTCATAATGAAATTCTATAATAATTTGAGGAGACAGAATTTAATGGGTACTCCGATGACACGTTGAGAAGTTCCGGCATGTGTGTCAGATTCCGACTATCCTGAGTTTAATTATGTTTTTGCATGGGTAATATAAGTCTTATTATTGTTCATCAAGATAAGAATAAAGGTTGCATTGCTTTTGGTATCTTCAGAATGTACGTGTTGTGAAGATTAATTGAAATTTCAGTTTCAAGATTGTAAAAGGCTTTGTAAACAGATATTTTAAGGGAATAATTATTAGTTAGAAAAATGTAACATTGGTATACTTATAATTAAATGAGAGCTTATCTTTTATTTTGAGATTTTATAAATGTCAAAAATGCAATATTATTGGATATTATGAAATTTTCCATATACAAGTTATCTGTTGTGTATATGAGTGTCCTTATGGCTGCGGACAATCTATTAATTTATGAATATCTATTACTATTAAATTTTGTGAAGATATATGTATATATACATATAGAACACGTTTAAAGGAATTTATCTGCGAATTAAAATCTTGACGTTAAAATACTTCGGATCATTTTTTGTGTGGAGATTCTTCATCTAAAATGGTTTCATTTCAATACCGTGCAATCTAATACTGGATGGACAAAACTCAACATTTCAATGTGTGAGATCAGCATAGAATCCCCTTCCGCACACAAGGGATTCTGATTCCTTGAGTTTGTAGCATAATTTCTTTAATTTAGGCAGATTTCATAGAGTTGTGACCGCTTACTTTTAAAATTTGTAGTAAAGTTCTTGCATTTTGTTTTTATTATTTTATGGTAATTTGTACTAATTCTTAGTTGGAATTAAAATCTAGATGTGTGAAAAAACCTACTCGATATATACTAATTTAAAAGAAAAAAATTGTTCAAATAGCACATATTCTATTTACCATATTACCCCTGCTATTCATCAGTAGGACCAAACTAGGTTAATATTACTACCACTGATTGGACAAGAGCGACTTTTGATTCCACTAAGCTATGTTAAAAGTAAAATCTACCTTTTGCTTTTCTTTTTTCAATTGTTTCAAAACCACTTTACTTACTTTTACGTTGGTGAATTGGAAGCTGGCATTTGTGATTTGCCCAACACAACAACCAACACACTATACGTACAACTACTAATAAGCCAACCTATATATATATATATAACATACAACATTATATTTCGTGGTGCACCATTTCGCCACATTTTATTTTAAAATTTTATCATTTAAAATTGTGAAATTCACCACCAATTATAAATTTGAATTATAAAATTTCTTTTTGATAATGAGTAACCTTCACCTGACAGTGTTGCATACTATTAAATTTGCATAGCAAGATCAACACTGGTGCAGAGAGAATTTTGATCCATGGTGATTAGGCATATATATAATGGGATAAGTGCAAAAAAACTTTAAAAGTATACACTGTGTAGTATTTTTACTTTAAAAAAAAAAAAAGTGTGCAAAAAATATTTCTAATCTTTTCACATTGTGCAAAAATACTCCCTCTGACTTAAATTAGTATTGTAATACTCTTTTCGCCCTTTTACTCTTCTAAAAATACCTAAGGAGATATATATGCTACTAATATCATAGTATAAGGGTGTTATGTACACATTACCTTATATATGTATATTTTGAAACTTTTTTCTCCATATATATATATCTCTAAAAAATAAAAAAATTAAAAAAAATAAAAAAAATAAAAAACTTTTAAAATTTGTAGAACAAGGATTTGAATTTTTTGAGATTCTAGTTTACTCTTTTCTACTAATTTTTTTTTTCGTACCAACAATCTTAAATTAAAAAAAAAAAATCCCAATATCAGTGTGCACTGATTTTCAGAGTTTGAAAAAGTTTTGTTTTCTTTAATTTGCACTTTATTATTTTTTTTTTTCTATTTTTATCTTTACTTTTCTTTTATACTTTTATTTTTATCTCTTACTTGTCCATTACCGGCGTCCTCCAATAGTGTCATTTTTTGTCATTTTATAAAATTATTTATTTTTATATATTTTATAAAATGGTTCAGTAAAGGTAATTTAGTCAATTTAGAATTTAAATTTGTCAGAGGGACCTATTTGTATTAGATTGAAACTTTAAGGATATGTTTTTGCACGAGAGGGGCATCCTCCAATAATGTCATTTTCGGTCATTTTACAAAATTATTTATTTTTATATATTTTATAAAATTATTCAGGAAGGGTAATTTAGACAACTTAGAGTTAAAAATTGTCAAAAAGACATATTTGTACCAAATTAAAACTTTAAAAGTATTTTATACAAATGAGGAGCATGACATTGAAAGCATATTTTATGAGTGTTTTCTGCCTAAACCCTTATATATAATACATGACTAAATATGAAAATGTGTGGATATATATATAAACTACAATTAAGTATATCTTTTAAGAATCGACTACCAAGTTCAAACTAGTCTGCAAATTTGATATGACAAATATATTTAATTATATACCTTCTGTTAAAAAGTCAGTTTCTTTTGGAAGCACTACCTGCGATATAAAAATAAGAATTACAAAATTAAAAAAATAAGAAGGACAAAATTAAAAAGCATTTCAACTACTATTAATTACTACTAAAGATTTAGCACTAGAAATGTGACAAATAGGTCAAAAGCTGCATGGTATGATATCTACGTTTCCTAATTAAAAGGAAGGAGGAGTAAAAATTTTAAAAAATAAAAATAAACCCTACACGATACCACACCACCCTATTAGTAATAAATTCAGTGACAATTATACACACACACACAGTAAACTTGCTTAAATAGTCCCTCTCTTTCAATTTAATTATCCTACTTCGAAATTTTAATATATGTTTAATTTAATACATTGGGAAAAAAATAAAATAAAATTATAAATAAACCTAAAGTAATTCATGAGAAAATATGCAATATGTTTAGTTTGACTTATAGCTGGATATTGTTTCTTGTGGGCAAATCTTGGTAGTGTTAATTAAGCTTTTTATTTGGTACAAGTAATGGTGGTGGGAAGCAAAGAGACCCATTAAAGCCAAAAGTTTAGGTAATATATTCGGTGAAAGTATGAAAACGAGGTTATTGTGGGACACGTGTCAACTTTTTAACTTACCTTTGCCATGCTTGCCCTGTCATTTCCTAAAAGCTCCATATATAATAATTGCTCTCACTTTTGTGAAAGCAACCATTTCTTTTAATTTTAATCATACATTAAAGAAATATAATATGTAATATTAGCCATAATTTTGAACTCATGCAGTTAAGATAGCAGAACAATTCTCATTCAAAAATAGAGAAGGTGTAGAAGTATCTAAGGGTGGGCACGAATTGGATCAAATTAGTCGTGAAATTTATAAAACAAATATCTAGTTCCATCGTGACGTATGTGTATTAAAAGGCAAAAAGAAAAGGAGGGAATTAGTAAAGAAGTCCAATTCGATGGAGTTTGTGGGTAGATGCATGATTGCTTACAAGTTCAAAAACCATGAGCTTGGAATGGGAAGTTGTAGAAAGTGGGAAAAAGGAGGCTTCGATCGCTAAAAAGTTCCATTTCTTTCATGCCAAGTTTTCTCCAATGCTCACCAATTATATATACACATATGTATATATTTATATATATAATGCTGTCTTAATAGAAGAAACAAACAAAAGGTTCGACCTAACAAAGTAAATGGGCTCCATAATTTAAATTTATATGCTTTTACTTTGGAAAAGGAGGCGTGTGAGTTGTGATGTGCCTGCAATCATGCATGTGTTCAATGTTCATTGTTCATGGTCTTCACTTTCAATTTCAAGACAACAGATTTTATGTTGTCAAAAGCTTTTAGCAGTCAATTTGCACTGCTCAAAACTTGGCTTATTTTTGGAATTAAATTTGAACTTTGCCCATTTAGAGTTGTTAGGAATTATGTCTCAAATTTTCATTATTATTAGTTTATATTTTAGAATGTATTTTTATGATAATTTCTTATAGAAACGTGAATTGGGCTCTAAGAAATTGTAATCTTGTCTACAAAAGAATTGGGTATGTGATTCTATAAATAGATACTTAGGGTATTGTTGAGGGTTATGAGTTGAGAGAAATGTAATCTCATGAGGGAGTAAGTTGTTGGTAGGGGAGAGTTACGGGTTTAGTAAAGTGAATACTGATCGCGAGAGGGAGTCTCGTGGAATACACGGAGAACTTGGTCAAGAGTTTATGTGCATGGTCCGGTGTTAAAATTCTCTATTATTGTAATATCTTTACATATATAATGAATCTCTTCTCATCTGTGGATGTAACCCTGATTTTGGGTGAACCACATATATATCTTGTGTCGTGGGTTGAATTGTTGTTTTCTTTTTTTCTTTTGCTTCCGCTGTACCCCAACAACTGGTATCAGAGTCAAAGGTGAAGGAGATCCAAAAAAACACAAGAAGCCTCAACATGTGCTACAACGGGCTTCAGTTGTAGGTGGAATCAATCGGCTTGGTTACATAGCATGGAGCTTGAGTAATCAAAGTGGAGCCTTGGGGTTTTGACTGATTGAGCAATGTATAGTGGGGATAATCCGAGTTCTGCAATAAGATCGAGAAGATTGAAGGGGCAAAGAATTGTTCAGATTCAATTGCCATGAGAAGCGATGATTGACGTAATGGAATTTGAGTCAAGGTGGAGATTGTTAGAAATTATGTTTCAAATTCCCATTATTTTTAGTTTCTATTTTAGATTGTATTTTTTATGATAATTTCTTATAGAGACGTGAATTGGGCTCTAAAAAATTGTAATCTTTGTCCACAAAGGAATTGGGTATGTGACTCTATAAATAGACACTTAGACTATTGTTGAGAGTTATGAGTTGAAAGAGATGTAGACTCATGAGGGAGTACGTTGATGGTAGGGGTGAGTTATGGGTTTAAAAGAATAAACACTGATCGCGAGAAGGAATCTTGTAGAGTACACGGAGAACTCGGTCAAGAGTAACCCTGATTTTGGGTGAACCACATATATATATCTTGTGTTGTGTTTGAATTGTTGTTTTCTTTTTTTCTTTTGCTTCCACTGTGCCCCAACAAGAGCATCTCCAGCGGTCTGTTAAAAAATTCTTTTGTATAATCTCCAACGGTCTGTTAAGATACACTGCCACATCAGCAATGTGTAAAAAGATTGTGTATTTTACACAGCCTTTTTACACATCCATGTAAGCATATTTTCTCTCTCCTCTCATTTTCTTACTCGCGGTTCTCTTTCTTCTCTCTCATTCCTTTACGCCTCTTTGTTTTTCACTTTTAGAGCGCCATGGAGAAGAATCTACAACTAGCTGTTCGACCATCTTTTATTTTTCTTTTTTCTTTTTTAATAAAAATAGTTTGATTCATCACTTTCATTTTATCTTTTCTTCTGTAATCATCGATGTAGATTCTAGGGTTTTTTAAAATTTTTTATCTTTTTATATTCTATTCTAATGAGATAAATATGTACTGGCCAAATATTATATATATATATATATATATTAATCACGATTTTATATAATTGTTGTTTGATACAGTTATACAAATTATTATTATTTTTTCCTTTTTTGTGATTAATCAATTCAATAGCAATTGTTGTTGCATATTTTTTGTTTCTATAGAAAGTGAAATATAGAGGGAAATTATTATTTTTTTTTCTAATTGAGGAGAATTGAGACTTGAGACTTGAGGTTTAATCGCGAAAAAATAAATGAATTAAGTAAGTTTGTAAAAGTTATATAAGGTCTTTGGTATGACACATGCTTGGTTGTTATTGAGGAATATTTTTTTACACAAAAGATATAAAACAACCGTTGGACCTAAAAATAGGTAGTACAAAATTTTTGTGTAAATCTACTCTGACACATCAGATTTACACAAAAATATATACACAGCAGTTGGAGAGACTCTTAGGTTGGAAGGAATTTTATATTTTTTTGTTAAATAGCATACCAACTTAAACGTTTTTCAGATCTACCCCCAATAATAAATCATTATCACTAAGTTAGAGGGCGAAAATATTGAATATATACATGAACAACTAAATTAGAGTAACTTTTCATACAAGCGATTCTAATATCAAAAAATTATTGTGGTCTAGTAGTATCTTTTCCCTTCTTAAATTGAAAATTGAAGGATCGTCTTGTTAAGAGTATTATGAGAGATTAAAAATTCTGGCTTAATAACTCAATGTGTGGAGATTTATTTCAAAATATTGTAAGAAATAGATGATTCAAATAGTTTTTATGATCAGCAACTTACAAAGATAGATATGCATCATGCGTTTAGATTAAATTCTTTAATCTGCTTAAATTCTTTAAAATTAAAGATAAAATATAGAAAAAATTATTAAATGATCCTAAACCATAAATCACTTGATAATCTAAATCAATCAAAACTCATGTTTAGATTTATTTATAATATTTTATTAAACTTTCTTAACTAACTTTTCTTAATCAAAAAGCTTTGGCTGGAGTTTGAATTTGATGGTTCCTTTCATTGTACATGTTACTTCCACACATTGCCATTTTGGCATTCTTGTCATTCTCTATTTGGAAAGCAGCTCAAAATCATAAAATATCAGAAGTGTGATTGTTGAGCATTGACTATGAAATGATATTTGATAGAGTTAAACATTACTTTTAAATTCTGGACTCCACTTAAATTTTTTTAATAAAGAAAATAACTCAGTTTGTCTTTCAAAATTGACGGCTCAAGAGTTACTTTTAGGATATTTGTATAGTGTGTGACAGTAGTACATCTTTAAAAGACAATTATTTCATCTATTTTTCTTTATAATGAGCTGCTTAATTGTTTCTACTTATTAATCTTTTTCACTTTGGTACAATCTATTATGTGTTGATTGATTAACACAATAACATGTTCTTTGTAACATTGAGAGGACCAGTGTTGGGATATGTATATTTTTTTGTCATTAAAATAGAAAATTTGTTTCTTATATTTTCTATAAAGTTAGTTTATACTTTTGGTAGCACCGGCCCATCCCTCCCTTTTTTTTTTTTTTTTTACTATACTCAATTTTAAAACAGTCCAAAAAATATATATATATTACTAATATAAGTCCACTCAAAAAAATATTAGCTAACCCTATTAACAATTCTTGAATTCTTCCTGTTAGAAGTAAGTTGTAATTCTTTATTTGAACAAAAGGATTTGAGAAAACAAAATAAATTTAACATTTAGTACTTTATATAAGTTAAAATCAAATTAAGTTGTTATTCTTTATTTGAACAAAAGGATTTGAGAAAACAAAATAAGTTTAACATATAGTACTTTATATAAGTTAAAATTAAATTAAATTAAATGCAGTGTTTGGTTGCAAGATGCTGGACCTCTTTTTCTTTCTTCTCAAAGCTTTGAAGCCAAAAAAAACCATATACGAAAAGTGACAGAGGTTGAACATTGCCTTTTTGCTTTGTAAACATTTGAGCTTTAGTAACACAACCCTTTAGCTTAAGTGATGCATCTTTCATGAATTTTTTTTTTCTTTTTTTCTTCCTTTGAAAGATTTGAGTTTTCAAATGAATGTAGATTTGTGTGAGTTGTCGTTTTAAAAGAGTTTCTTGATACCTAGGTTAAAGTTTCTTGTTCAACATTGGATTCTAATAAAAAAAAAAATCTTGGACCCGTAAACGGATATTATTGGATTCAAAAACTTAAGTTATTAAATGATGTTGCCTTTATGAGCCCAATATACTCATGGTTTGCAGTATCAGTTAAGGTCACGGTGTAACGAACTCGGACAAAGTTAGCGTAAAGTGACTGATACGGACCGCGTATTAGACAATCATGCTGTCACCCTCTCCATTCAGATTCAAGACGGACCAAGAACTTCTAACATGTGGCATTTATTATTCTATAAAAAATTGATATACAGTGACCAATGACTATTGTTAGGTCATCTCAAAAGCAATAAAAGTGTCCAATGTTATATCATGTTAAAATTGCTATATATATATATACATATATATACATATCATGTTAAATGGACTTCAGTATCATGCTTCTTGGCCGTTCAGTCTGAGTGTTTTCTAATCCAAAGCTAAGCCCAAAAGTAGAATCTCTTTAGCCCTTGTACGAATAATAATATTGGGGGGGTCCTCTCTTATCACTATTGGGGATTCATGTGGATATCCACTTGAGTCTATATATTTAATAAATTACTTAAAAATCTATTGCTTTTCTTTTTAATATTTTCAGGAAATTTATGGACTGTGTTGTCATCCAATAATGTTAGTGAGCTGTAAGTCAACAACGCCATAAAAGCTAAACATAATTAATCTTTGTATTTCCTGATACATTTACCCTATTCTTCGTAGTTGTCTTCCACCTTTTCTGATCTTCTCAAACTTTTTTATGCTACCATGTTATATAGAATACACGATCCATGTAATACAAATATATATAACACAAAATGAAAATAACAAAGATTTAATGCAAACACACTACAAATTCCTAACAAACGAAGTTAAGTACAAATGAAAATATAGCAAGTTACTTCCCATTCACAGAATTTAGCATTTTCTGGAACTGAAATTCCTCCAAACACCATCTAATATCTACAATTGTTTGACATTTAGATTAGATTAGAACATCCACTACTAACAGTTTCATAGGTCTGACAGTTACTAAAGTACCCTTTAACTACTGTCTCTACCATTGTTAGACATTAGATTAGAACATCCACTCTATTAACAGCTTCATTAGTGTTCTCCACCTCTTCCAGAACTGCCTTTTTCACCATCGTCTGACATTAAAGCATCCATTTTCTTCACCATTTTGACATATTTCTCCGCCACATCATCGACAGACTCTCGGGTGCTCTTACCATCTCTTTTGTCGTCCCCACAAATCTCCTTGACAAAAGCCTCATCGGACAACTTGACACCGAGTTGTTCCTCTAACTTCTTCTTCATCTTGTCGAAATCCTTCGGATTGCAGAACACTTTTGCTTTTCCTGGCAACACTTCTTTACCTTCAACTATCTCCACTTTCATCTTCTGCAATTTCGTGTTGCCCAACCGGTCCCGTACCAAAGACGCAAGGGAAGACAGAGACTGCTCCCTCTGGATACAACAGTAATAGAAAGATATTGGTCTACTACAAATTAAGCGATTATAATAATTCTCTTCTCAAAATGATAGCACATACCTGCAACTTCAACCCCAATAACAAACGACCGAAATATGCAGCAGCAGTAGCACCATATCCCATCTGCTAGTATAGATTGGGATTTAACCAAATTAATGAAAAGAATATCATCAAATCACATATAAGCAAACATAAATTCATTAGTTATCTTCAGTATCGAAGAGGTGAATAGGGAATGCTTAATAGTATGCTAATAAACGTGTCCAATGCAATTTTAGTCCAGACTATTGCTTTTTCGCTTATTCTGGTAATAAGTTAGTTTTTCACTTCAAAAGGTATAAGGTAAAAGCTCTCTCCAGTATGCAAAAACAAAAGGCCTGAGTAGTAAAATTTTAGGGACATCAGGTAAAATTGACACAACTGAAAATGAACCCACTTACTACTACTCAATAACAAAAAAGAAATGCAATACCATTGTACTTGAGAAAAGAAAGAAAAGTTCAAAAATCAAAATTCTACTGGAAAAAGGCGAACATATATCATAACATACTACAATTTCAGTACCGCTATATCAAACCATAACACATTCCCATCACCAGCTATCAAACAACTCCAATTGAATTACATAAATAGAACTTCTTTTACTGGAACCAAAACAAAAAACTTGCATTAACCCACATAAGAAACCAGGAAACATAAAGAAGCACAAGATCAGATCAATACAAAAGCCAAGCAAAAAGAAGGCAGAGGCCTTAACACTGCAATGATACCGAAACAAAACGTCCAGAAATACTCTGATCATCTATTTTTGCAAATTGAAGCTTATGAACAGTGGTCTAATTTACTTTTAGTTCACTTAAGTTTTCAGTTTGTGTTTGAAAATTGTGAGGGTTTTTATATAAATTATGATATTCCAGAGCCATGTGCCTATTTTACATTTATCTTTTAGAAGTCACAGAAATGAGTAGGGAGATGAAAAAATCAAAATCAGGCCATCTTCTTTTACAAGACAGAAAGAAATTAACAAATCCAATGATGCTCCAAAAGGTTAACCTCCTTTATAAGTCATAAAATCAATTCTTCTGTACCAAAAAAGAGAAGAAAAAAAGAAATAGAAATGTGTGATAAATTCTTAACAAATATTGATATTATGTAGTTAATTGGATAAATTTGACAAAATTCTCATCATGTTCTGGTTGCAACAAGCCAAACAAACCCGCATAGTATATAGCAAACAGGAAAGCTATTCAACAGATAACAAGCAAACACTTGTTTACGAAGACTTAATTGTATTTACATAATGGACTGCAAACATAGTATGCATTAATTGAATAAAATAACAACTAAATCACAGCTGCGAAAAAGAATATGACCTCCCAAGACTCTCCACCTTTGAACCAACAGACAACTCCCGTACTAATTTTTAGCAGATTGCCACCCTGATTCCCTGGACTATCAAAAGTGTTCCATCAAGTTAACGTTAAAAAATAAACAGTTGAAGCATTTTGACTTTTTGAAAATCCCAAATTACCCTTTTATTGCATAACCCGCGAACTATAAGCAATTTGCATATTATCCATGTTTCAGGGGGTATTGTGTAATTGTATAGTTCTGGGGATCTTTGTGCAAAATAATCTTAAGGCCAATTTTGTAGTTTTCAGCACATATAATGTCCAACCTTAAGGCAGTTGGACAGTTGGCCCTTTTCCATAGTCCCAAGCTGGGGGTGGGGGTGGGGGGGCAGCCATTAGCCGAATGATATGGACAAGTGGGGAGAAGGCTGAAACGATTTGATGCCGTTGAAACAATAGGTCTGAAACTTTAAAACATCCATTTTATAGATTGAAGCTTAAGAACATTTGTCCAACTACTTTTTATTATTCAGTTTAGTTTCAGTTTGTGATTGAGAATTGAGAGGTACACGCAGAAGTGCCAATTTCGTCATGCTTTTAATGGATAAATCAATCAAAACGAGTAATTTAAATTACTCTTATGTCCATAGAATTTTAGCCCAAGGAGATGATCTGTAAGTTACATAAGTGCCCCGGCTTTTTCCTGAACCTAACTTCGTAAGCGTGGCTAATAGGATCTGAACTCTTCATGTCTCCCTATCAAAACAAATGAGTAGTTCCGCAACCTTTGGTTATCTTTACCATCAATCCTTATTATCTCACATACGTAAAGTTGCAACATTTTATAACAAGACAAGCCACATATCACATCAAACATAATGCAGTCATTCCTTAATAGAACATAAAGATGGATCAATATTTAACCATTTTCAATGGTGGAAATTAATAAGTTGGATCACCTCTCTCTCATCTTTTTATTTTATTTTTCGGAACACGTGAAGGAATTTTTATAAGCTAAAAAATATTTTGCAAACAGCATTCCTCACAAGAGGTTAAGATTACATTTAAAAACATTTTACAAACAATAGTTCTCACATGAGTTTAAGATACTATGATCTGGAGTTCTGGAGTTTAATTAGTTGGATATGCATTGACATTTAGTATCCTCTGACAGGTTCTCTAACACTAATGGCTACCTTACTGTCAATGCAAAAGAATGTTACTATGATAAAACTGTTCTTCACAAATATGAATCCATTCATCCATTTAATAGAAGAGAAATTTTTGAGAAAGTGATTGAAAGATGTGTTCCAGGTGACCAGCTAGCTGGTTTTCACCCAATAATTACCTGACTCTTTATTCAGCAATACTTTATTGTGTCTCAAATCCATTCAAAATCCCAGAATTTCATAGATAAAATATGAAACACATTGTTGTATGTTATTCAGTAAAACTGTTGGACCACATGCTGTAGACACAACAATTTAGTTTTAAATGGAAAATGTTCTAAAAAATTGTGTATTGTAAGGACGTGCATGACTCTAGCAAATGTATAAACACCTAGCTATATATTCCTGCAAATTACACTGCATACATGTTACATACAAACACCCAAATTTGAACAATCAGATTCAAGCACTTAACTAGATTCCAATAAAAGAACAGAGTAAAAGAAAGAGGTCATGCGCGAAATATAGCCAAAAAAGAGGTCAAGAGATAAATAATTGTAGTTAATTCAATCAACAAGTATTGCTGCAAAAAATAAAATTTTAACTCCAAAAAAAAATAAAAGAGAGAATGCAAATCCATTTCAACCCTTTTTCCATTATTTATGCTCTATCATATTAAAAATAAAAACACCAATAGGCACTAGCCTAGATGGTGGTGGGGACCAAATATGGGTGTGTGTGTGTGTTTGTGATTAACCATTGAAAAAAATAAAATAAAACACAGATTCAAAAAGAACTGTGTACAGAAAGCCAAAGATGATGAAACTCCTATGCTTTATCCATTCAACCGCACATTCACATCACATCATAACAATATATAAATATACATCGAAACAACAGAGAAAAGAAGGCTCTCGCTGCAACTATAAACTCTAATTCTGCAGAACAATCGACTATATCATACCAATATTCAAATAAAAAACCACAAAAAGTTGTGCTAAAGTACTTAAAATCCAAAATGTAAATCAATTTACTCAAACGTTGTCTATATATCCTGATAAAAGTCCTAATAAATGCTAAAAAATGATAAATCCCTAGAATCCAAATACATGCCTTCTCTGTAAAAAAGAAGCAGCAAGTAATGATTCAAAACACGAAATCAAGCAGGAAATGAATAAAGGAGAGAATCCATAAGAAACAAGCAGAATGCAAATCCCAGAAGAAGCAAAGGTATATAAATACATCTATATAGAAAATGTATATACATACATAGAGAGCAAGCATGAAGCTCACCTTGTTTTCGTTAGTGGAACCCTAGAAGGCACAGAGAAATGAGGGGGAGAGATTTTACAGTACCGTACTCAAAGCAAGGGTGACTGAAAATGCGGTGAGAAAAATTAGGGCTGCATGTTTTAAATCAAAACGTTGCGAAAAAAAAAAAAAAAAAAAGCCAATACGTCGTCGTTGTCCTAAACGATATAGACGATGTCGTATTGTTTTCAATTAGACACTTTAATTCTTTCACAATTATAATATGTACTTCCTCCGTTCCAATATTGGACGGAGGGAGCATTTAGCTTGTATGGGTTTTAAATGCACGAATAGTCGCATAGTGTATAATTAAAAAAAAAAAAATTTGTTCATTTAAGTATAAATGATATTAAATGCACAAAATACATCTTTAAACACCCCTCTTTAGTTGATCCCTCTCATGCCAAAATTAGTAAACGATTATATTACCCTTGTTATAAAAATAAATAAATATTAAACATATACAATTAGAATAAAGTCTCTGTACATTGTACAAACAATTCTAATATTCTTCGGAAAACAATTTTAATATCAAAAGATTATTGTGGTCTGCAGTCTCTCAAATTGAAAATTGAAAAATCAAGTCATGTTAAGAGTATTATGAGAGTTATTTGCTTATATTTATTAGAAACAAATTTTAGGAGATGGATTAGAAATTTTGGCTTAATAACTCAATCTGTAGAGATTTATTTCAAAAGATTGTAATAAAGAGATGATTCAAATGGTTCCTATCCACTTACAAAGATAGATATGTATGTCGGGTTTATAAGCACATGCGCAAGAGGAATAATCCAATCTACTTAAATATTTTTAAAATTGAAAATAAAGTGTATTAAATGATATTAATCCACAAGTCAAAAAACTTCTAACATTTAGCATATATTATTCTATAAATACATACATACATATAAATATATATATATATATATGAGTCTTGATTTCTTGCTCTCCGTAGAACAAGAAAATTAATCTACACTTTCTATATGAACCGTTGGATTAAATCTAACGATCATTTTTCAAACCCACCCATATCCTTTCCTTTTAATACAAAACAAATCTCACCCTATTTTTAGTTTTCGTATTTAATTTTACGATTACCACCTATGTAGCAATAAAAGGTAATTACCAGAATAAAAATAGAAAGCTTTGAAAGAAAGATAATACCCGTGTATATATTACTAAAATTTATTTTTCTTTAAATGTTTCTTTGAAAGAAAAATAATACCGGTAATCTATGTAGCAATAAAAGGTAATTACCAAAATAAAAATAGAAAGCTTTGAAAGAAAGAAAATAACCGTGTATATATTACTAAAATTTGTTTTTCTTTAAACGTTTCTTTGAAAAAAAAATAATACCTATTTATTACCTGTATCTTTTAATTTTGCAATCAAACTTAAGCAAAATGCAGTAGTATAATATTAGAGTGTTTTCCTAAGAAACATCTTGTAGCCATGCTTAATGTATATCTCAGTTTTTAATAGTATGGGGTCTTTTTTGCATGTGCACATACTAAAATTCAAATAAATATACTTGTCCGGTATAAGTAAATTTACGAACAAATATACTATAATGTTACATTTTGGAATATCGAATTGATACATTAAAATTGTAATTGGAGAAACTTTCATTTAAAGTTTAAACAAAATTTCTTTCTATTTCAATTTTAAGATGGCTCGGTGTTCTCAAACTAGGTCAACTAGATTTTGAGGAGTTGTGTTTGGCACAAATTCTCTTGTTGAATTTGCCGGCACATGTGTTCAAAGATATAAAATTTGGATAATGCAGTAGCAAAGATTTTTTTATTTTTATTTTGGTAATTACCTTTTATAGCTACAGTAGGCCGTAATGATAAAATTAAATATGCAAACTAAAAATAGTGATTTTGTGTTAAAAGGAAAGTGCATAGGTAGATTTGAAAAATAACTGTTAAACTAAAAATAGTGATTTTGTGTTAAAAGGAAAGTGCATAGGTAGATTTGAAAAATAACTGTTAAATTTAATATAACGGTCCATATAAAAAGTGTGGATTAATTTTTTTACTCCTGTAACCGATGTTAGTATCATATTAAAAGGACTTTAGTATCATGCTTGTGGACCGCTCAGTCCGAAAAGTTGTCTACTATTCCAAAGCTAAGCCCAACCGTAGAATCTCTTTAACCTTATACGAATAATAATATCTGGTGTCTCTCCCATCTTGGGGATTCATCATTCACGTGGATATCCTACGAGTCTATATATTTAATAAATTAGTTAAAAATCTGTTCCTTTTTTCTTTTTAATATTTTCGGGACATTTATGGACTGTGTAAATGTCCACCCATTAAAAATTTAAACTGTGTTGGCTATAGTTCAAAGGTTAACCCATTGTACAAACAAGGGCAATCCCATTATCCGACTCCTTTTGTTAAATGGGAAGCCCGTCCTATTAATTCTCAACTACAATTTTTTTTTTTTTTTTAATCTTTTTTTTTTCATTCACTTTTTACTATCATGAAATGAAGGATGCAATACAATTACATTAAAAATGCAACTTCGATATAAAGAGCATTGAGGAATTTCAGTTCCAGAAAATGCTCAATTCTGTGAATGGGAAGCAACTATATTCACTATTAACGTTTTCATACATTGTCACACATTAAAGAGCATTGTCTGACACTAAAGCTCCCTTTAAGTACTATCCCTACCATTGTTAGACATTATATTACAACATTCAGTCTATAAACAGATTCACCTGTCATCAACTCATCCTGAACTGCTTTTTTTCACCATTGTCCGACGTTGAAAGCATCCATTTTCTACACCATTTTGAAATAGGTGCTCTTACCATCTCTTTTGTCGTCCCTGTAAAGTTCCTTGATAAAAACCCTCACCGGACAACTTCACACCAACTTCATCTTCTAACTTCTTATTCAAATCCTCCAGATTGAAGAGTAGTGTTGCTCATCCTGCAAACATTGCATTACTTCCAAGTATCTTCACTTTCATCTTCAGTTCCGCCTTGCCCTAGCAAAGACCCAAGGGAAGACATAGAAGACTGCTTCCTCTTTTCAGGGCTTATACTAATTCTCTTTTCAAAATGATAGCACATACCACAACCTCAGCCCCCTTAACCATCAATCGAAAAATGCAGCACCATCACCATATCCCATCTGCTAGTAATCGGGATTTTAACCAAATTAAAGAAAAGAACTTAATCAACCCACATGAAAGCAACATAAATTCATTAAAAATATTTTTTTTTTGGAAAAAAAAATAATAAAAAACCCTTATTTTAATTTCTTTATTTACCAAAAGAAATCATAAAAGAAAAAGTAATGACAAGTATATATTGCACATTATCACAAAATCAGTATCTTGACCAGGGAAAAAAAGAAGAAGAAAACAAAACATAAAATTCCTCATAAGAGGAATAACAGCCACCCAACACCACAAAAACTTGACCCAAGTATTTGGGATGGCTGTAAAAATGGAACATTCTTCTCTGTCAAAGGAACTAACTAGGTTAAGCCACAAGATTAACATGTGATTGTTCAAATTGTCAAACTTGAATAAACAACATTTCAGTTGCAACTTAGTACTTGCAACGATATAAAACTCCAAGGCAATTATCTTCGGTATACCAATAAACGTGTCCTATGCAATTTCAGTCCAAACTATTGCTTTTTCGCTTATTCTGGTCACAAGTCAATTGTTTAGTCCAAAAATTAATTAAACTGACCTAATAAAAGCTATCAGTAAAAGGGATCCAGTCACAAAACAAGAGGCCCGAGTAGTAAAATTTTAGGACATCAGGTGAAAAATATATAGCTACAGAATAGTTGAGAATATAGGGATTTATGTGCACTCACCAAAGACGCTTGAGCGCTGTAGAGATATACTTCTTATGAAATTTTTAATTCTGGTTTTTTATAGTGCATATAAGATTTAGCTCTCTTTGAAATACAATTTGCGCCAAACAAAAAAAATCCACAAGACTAAATAAATGTCACATGCAACTACTAGTTAAATTAAAGCAGTTGCAAAAGTGTAATTAAATGATCAAGCTGTTAATAAGATCATAAAGACTACAAGCATAGGCATGTAGCATGTAACTGCTTTGATTCAAACACATAGACGTAGTAAACATCGGTGTGTTTTTCAAAGGAAACTTTTAATTCAAAGGACTGTTAATTAAATGACAAAGAATACGAATATAGGGCAAAAGATCAAGTTGGTATCACCATTTGAGATATATACAGCCAAGAAAGAATAATTCTAAAATAAAAGCAGTTGGCAAAAGACCAATAAAATGCAGACTACCAATAACAAAAAAGAAATGTGATACCAATGCACTTGAGAAAAGAGAGAAAAATTCAAAATTCGACTGGAAAAAGGTGAGCATATATCATAACATACTACAATTTCATTACCAATAAATCGAACCACACCGCATTCCCATCACCATCCATCAAACAAATCCAAATGAATTACATACATAGAGCTTCTTTTACTCAAAGGCATTAACCCACATCAAAAATCAGGAAACATAAAGAACCACAAGATCAGACCAATGCGAAAGCAGAAAGGAGAGGCCTAAACACTCTGATGATACCAAAACAAAATGTCCAGAAAAACTCTGATCATCTATATTTGCAAATTGAAGCTTAAGAATAGTGGTCTAATTGACTTTCAGTTCACTTAAGTTTTCAGTTTGTGTTAGGGAATTGTGAAGGTTTTTATATAAATTATGCTATTCCAGAGCCATGTGCCAATTTTACATTTATCTTTTATAAGTCACATAAATAAGTAAGCACATCAGAAAATTCAAATCAGGATATCTTTTTTTACAAACTAGGATATTATATAAAACATAAATGAGAAAAAGAGTAACAGGGAGTTAGTGGCACTGAGTTTTGCAATTGCAGATACCAACAAAAGTAAAATATTAATCTCAAATCTTGAAAGTCCACTTATATTCCATGCCCTTTGTTAGATGAAGAAGACAGAAAGAAATTAGCTATTCCAATGATACTCCAAAAAGTTTACCTCCTTTATGAGTCATAACATCAGTTCTTCCGTACCAGAAAAGAGAAAAAAGATTGAAATAGAAATTTGTGATTAACAGATATTGACATTATGTAGTTAATTGGAGAAAATTCTCATTGTGTTCTGTTTGCAACAAGCCAGACGAACCCCGCATGGTATAGCAAATAGGAAAGTCATTCAATAGATAACAAGCAAACACTTATATATGAAGAGTTAATTGCATTTACATAATGAACTACATACATAATCTGCAAGAATTGAATAAAATATCAACCAAATCGCAGCTGCCAAAAAGAATATGATCTCACAAAGTATCTTTAGCTTTCTCCACCTTTGAACCAATACACACCTTACAGGCCTAACCCTCACCATCAAGCAAGTTTATTAGAGAAAACAGATAACGTAGAGAGCGCATTGATAAATGTGTCAAACACATCCATGGACCAAAATTTTAGATAATTTTTAAAATCAGAACAACTATAAAGAAAAAAAAAAAAAAAAAAAGAATTAAAGGAAGTTAGAACTTGACAAAAAGAAATCAGAAAGGGGAGATATAGGCCAATACAGGAAATAAAAAATAAATAAATAGAGTATGACAGAAGATAAAGCTGAGCTTGACAAGAAAACAGAAAGTGAAGTGGACTTTAAAAGGCTGATTGCAAAAACCTCCAAACTATAACATAGTAGCATTTCACCCCATACTAAATTTTTAGCAGATTGCCACCCTGAACTATCAAAAGTTTTCCATCAAGTTAGCGTTCAGAAATAAACAGTTGGAAGCATTGCGATTTTTTGAAAATCCCAAAGTACCCTTATAGATTAATTGCTCAAAACCCAAGAACTATAAAATTTACAAAATACCCATGTTTCAGGGGGTAGTGTGTAAATTTCTTATAGTTCAACACATATAATGGCCACCTCAAGCCATTTAGATATAGGGGAGCTGGGATTAGAAACTGCTTCCAAACCCCTGTAACTATATTGTAGGGGACAATCCCGATCTTTACACATGAAGTAAATAGTGCCATCAATGGACATCGCATGCGACCAAAAATTTAGTGACAAAGGTAGCTTAATAGTTAAGGGCATGCTTCTTGGGTGAATTCAAGAGTTTAAAGTTATAAACTTCATACTTCACATAACAAACAATATCTTATAGCCCTCACAGTTTTCGATTTCCCATTCAATGTCATTCCCACGGTAACTCAGGCGTGGGAATCCTGGACTAGACCTTTACTGATGACCAAGTAAAAGGGTTACGTAAGAGGGTTGTAAACATGGAAGCTTGTACGGACAGTATCAGGAAAGCAGACAAGACTGTCAGTCGAAGCAACTAGCAAGACAATTAATTTCGTTGCAAAATGACACTTAATTGTCATTTGTCTTTGTTGCAAAATGACTAACAAATGCACTAATCTGTTAATCATTTTGCAACAAAGTCAATGGTCTTGCTAGTTGCTTCGGCTTGGAGGTCTTATCTGCTTTCTTGATACTGACATTCAAGCATCTATATTTGCAACCTCTCACTCAATCTTTCAGAGAGTTGACAGCTCGTCTTGTCACGAGTTGCCGTGGGAATGGACATTGAATGGGAAATCGGCAAGTGAGGGCTATAAAATCCTCTGGGTTGGTTGTGATGGAAAGTATGAACTTTATAATTTATTAAGTCAATCTTGGATTCGCCCAGGAAGCATGCCCTTAACCATTAAGCTACCCTTGTCACTAAATTTTGGGTGGCAAGTGAAGTCTATTGATGGCATAATTGTGTTCGGATCCAGATAGTATTGCGTCCTATAATATGGTTACTGGGGTTTGGATGCAGTTTCTAATACCAGTTCCCCTACATCCAAGTGACCATGCTTGCGGGGTTGCTGACAAATAATGCTGCCACATGGGTGTGCATTTGGGAGCTATAGATGATGACTCTCTTGTGAGATGAGGTTGCCAGAATGCCCAACATCTGGTGCTTGAAGTTTTAAGGAAGAAAAGTTAGGATGACTTGCTTGGGTAACAAGGTTTTACTAATGAAATAAAAGAAAGGTAGAGCTTGACAAAAAGAAATCAGAAAAGGGATATAGATGAATACAGAAAATAAAAATAAATAAATAGAGTATGATAAAAGAGAAAATTGAGCTTGACAAGAAAACAAAAAGTGAAGTGGACTTTAAAAGGTTAATTGCAAAAAAATAAAAATAAAAAAAATAAAAAACATCCGAACTATAACTATAGTTACATAGTTACCCCATACTAAATTTTTAGCAGATAGCCACCCCGAACTATCAAGTCTTCCATCAAGTTAACATTAAGAAATAAACAGTTGAAGCATTGCAACTTTTTGAAAATCCCAAATCCTTTTAGATTAATTGCACAAAACCCATGAACTATAAACCATTGACATATTACCCATGTTCAAGGGGGTAGTGTGTAAATTTCTTATAGTTCAGGGGATCTTTGTGCAAATAACCTTAACACTAATTTAGTGATTTTCAACACAAATAATGGCCACCTTAAGGCAGTTGGACAGTTGGACATCTTCCATAGTCTCGCGCTGCGGGGGTGCAATTAACCCTTCGTGTGTTTATAATCCAAGAACAAACTGAGATGAACCCAAATGACATGAAAGACAAGGAGGGAGAAGGCTGAAACACATTGCCAACATTGAAACAGAAGGTCTGAAACTTTAAAACATCTATTTTACAGATTGAAGTTTAAGAAAATTAGTCCAATTACTTTTAATTCAGTTTAGTTTTCCGTTTGTGACTGAGAATTGAGAGGTAAGCGCAGAAGTGCCAATTTTCACCATGTTTTTAAATTATAAATCAATCCAAATTCAAGCAATTTAAGATACTATTATGTCCATAGAATTTGAGCCCAAGGAGATGATCTGAAGTTACAGAAATGCCCAGGCCTTTCCTGAACCTAACTTCTTAAGCAAGGATAATAGGATTTGAACACTTACATCCCTTTCATAATAAATGAGTAGTTCCGCAACCTTCAGTTATCTTTACCATCAATTCTCATTATCTCACAAGCGTAAAGTTGCAAAATTTTAAACAAGACAAGTCACAAATCATGTCAAATATAACTGGTGAGATGCCAAATTTGAATAGAACTGGACTAATGCGTCTGAGAGTCTGAAGCCAAATATTTTACAACGCTCCTGTAGTTAAAGGTCAAAATGTAGTCATTCCTTAATTGAGAACATAAAGGTGGCTCAATATATAACCTTTTTCAATGGTGGCAATATGCATTAAAATGAGCGGATCTCTCTCTCTCTCAACATTTTTTTTTTCTTTCTCAGAACACCTGAAGGAATTTTCACCAGCTAAAAAATCTTTTGCAAACAACATTTCTCACATGAGGTTAAGATTACAGTTAAAAACATTTCACAAACAAGAGTTCTGACATGAGTTTAAGATTACAAATAACTATGATATGGAGTTCAGGAGTTTAGTTAGTTGGATATGCACTGGCATTTAACATCCTCTGACAGGTTCTCTAACACTAATGGCTACCTTACAGTCGATGCGACAATCCATTTAATACTAGAGAAATTTTTGAGAAAGTGATTGAAGGACACGTGCCAGGTAGCTGGTTTCCACCCGATAATTGCCTGTTCTTTATTCTATAAAATTCATTCACATTTTCCTAAATATCCTAGTTGAACTGGGGCTTAAAACAAATAGTCAGTAATACTTTGGTGTGTTTCAAATCCATTCAAAATCCCAGGATTTCATAGATAAAATATGAATCACGTGGTTGTATGATGTTCAGCAAAACTGCATGGGTACATGTAGACACTAACAAATTAATTTCAAACATAAGATATTCTAAAAAATTCAGTGTATAGTAAGGATATACAAGACGCTAACAAATTCAAACACCTAGCTATTCCTGCAAATTACATTGCAAACACATATTACATACAAACACCCAAATTTGAACTTTCAAATTCAAGCACTTTAACAGATTCCACCGAAAGGAGGAGTAAGAGAGGCCATACACGAAATATAGCCATAAAGAGGCCAAGAGATAAATAATTGCAGCTAATTCCATCAATAAGTATTGCTGCAAAAAATAAAATTTAAACTCCAAAAAAAGAGAAATAATGCAAATCCATTTCAACGCTTCTTCGGTATTTATGTACAAAATAAAGCCATTGTTCTCCATCAAACATATGAAAAAAAAGAAAGAAAGACACTCGAGTTCAAAGGCTTTCTCGTTGAGAGCAATGTTTCATAACATAATTCCACTAATGGCAAACAAAATATCACGAAACTCCGATGGTTTAACCATTCACGCAAACATTCATATCATAACTATATATAAATATACATGGAAACAACAGAGAAAAAGAAGGCTCTCAGTCCAGCTGCAACTATAAACTCTAATTCTGTAGAACAATCGACCATACCCTAGCAATATTTAAAATAAAAACTACAAAAAGTTGTGCTAAAGTACTTCAAATCCAAAATGTAAATCAATTTAATTACTCAAACATTGTTTATATGCTAAAATGATGAATTCCTAGAATCCAAATACATGCCTTCTCTGAAGGAAAGAAGCAGCAAGCACTGAATCAAAACAAGAAATCAACCAGGAAATAGAGAATCCATAAGAAAAAAACAGAACGCAATCCCAGAAGAAGCATATATATAAACAGTACATATAGTGGTATACATATACATCTATACAAAATGTGTATATATACACAGTTACACATAATATATAGAGTAAGAGAATGGAGCTCACCTTGTCGTCGGTAGTGCGCCATAGAAGGCACAGAGAAAGGATGGTGAGAGAGATTTTTCTTTTCCTTTTTCTTTTTTTCTTTGCGCCGTAATTTCAGTGAAAAACGGAAGCAGTGATTTTTTGTGTTGTCATTTCTGTCAAAAGAAGAACTCGTTTGGTAACATACATCAGTTGTTGAATTTTTTAAAGCAGAAAAGAGAACATGTTTGGTAACCAAAAATAATAAATAATAGTATGATCATTGACTAAAACATAAGAGACAAGAACCCATATACAGAATAGGATAACGCTAACATTACATGTTTGATCGTATACAAAACATGAAGATGTTCTAGTAAGTACCAAAATAATTAGATTATTTCATTGATGATACTTGTTCCTAAGTTGATTTTTGTCGTAAACCGTATCATTCCCGCCACTAGGTTTTCCAACCAGTGTTGGTAAATGTAATCGTATTTCTATTCCCATACATTATTTCATCCACAAGCAATAGGATGAAACTCTCTTCTTTAGAGGCATCCCATATTTTTTGGCCATCAACCCCAACCTCCACCACATCATTTTCTTCATCATTTGTATTTGTGGTCATTTGAGTCAATGATTAAACTTCTGTATCCATCTACCAATCAAACATGGCCTTAAAGATTTAAGAAAAATTAACTTGCTCAAAGAAAAGAATGAGAATGAACATTTATATCAAAATCGGAATGAACATTTATATAAAAGAATGAGGAACAACAATACAGTATACTCTACTATGTAATTAAGGACTCTTGGAATACAGCACATTTATAATAATTACAGTATCCACATCATGCTTACACCTGAAATTCCATCCATGCACCTGTGCCATTACATATACAAAAACCACAGAGCAATTTAGCTTCAAATAGCATGAATGACCAACTATTTTCTTTAGGAAACCAACGGGCAAAACAAAGTTGAATTTGAGATAAAGTTCAAAGCCCAACAAGAAAAGGAGAGTCTGGACTAAACTAGTTGGGGTTTGGACAGATTAACAAGAATAGGAGGGTCATGTTTCAACAAATTTTCTTCTACTTTTTTTGTCCTTTCCCCCACCCCCTCTGTGCAGTGAAAGAGAATATTAATACTCTGTTTTGTTATTATACTTTCTGACCAGCTTGGGTTTTAAAATAGTTTATTTGTTTTCACTTTGAGACATGAGAAGGATTATTGCAGCAAGATATACCATATGGTTATTAGCATGCATTTTAATTATTCATCTTTTCAAAATATTCTCGGTATATATATCAACTTCATCTTATCTTGACCATCATCATTATTATCAACTTTATTACATGAAGCACTAGAATCTCCTAAAAATCATTCATATTCAACATTTCAATCTTTGTTGTTTAATGAGTACTTAATATTTGCACTAAAATCAGGAAAATATTTTGTTTTTGTGAAAATTTTGATATCCATACAGTCGTGCCATATTGTGAGCCATGATGTGGTACCACTATAATCACAAATAAAATCATGCTCTCTTTGTTGTTACCATATGATGGAAAAAGGCAAAGAAAAGATGTCACACTCTTTCTTTATGGAAGTAAAGTAAATAAAGCACTGAGAACTATTTTACTTAGGCATGATCAGTGAATGTTTCTGTTAACTATTATTAAAGCACAATTTTTCTTTAAGAACATTGCACATCATGTATACATATTACCTTCCTAGTTGGTGACATGATTGACATAAAGGCAAGTTGATGGGTATTAATCAAATTTTTGGGCAATCCATCTTACTTAGGCATGGGGCTTCCACATAAACTGCCAATTTTCTTAATTCATAATCTAATGTGTATCTTGACATGGTTATGCATAAAAATAAATAAATAGTAAGACCACTTTCAGAAGCAAAAATAGATGAGTTCAAGAGATCTCCCATTAAAATAGTTTTTTTTTTTTTTTCCTCACATTAAAATATAGTTGAATTAACTCATGAAAACAAATACAAAATCAGAAATAAGCAGAAACAGGGAACACAGCTGAACAGGGGGAATCACCAGCGACGACAACCAGCCAAAATTTGCAAGAGTATTAAAAAAAAAAAAAAAAATGATTTGGAACTAGAAAAGCATGCTTAGATATGGCAAAACAGTAAGATCAAATTTTTCTTTTCTTTTTTTAAAAAAAAAAAACATTCGATCATAAAAAAATTAAAACACACAACCACCCAATTTTAGTGACACAGAATAATACTGAAATACTAAAACAGCAAACCCTATAAAACAATTGGTTTATACAGAAAATTAAAATCACCTGTAAATACAGGAAATTGGTTGCAACTGTAATGTTTCTTTGATCACCGAAAAAGCTAAAGAAAAGACGAACGAAATATAGATGTCATTAGTTTTCTGTTGTTCAGTCAAGAAAAGGCCAACGAAATAGAGATCCCAAGCATATATACACATATGTATGGAGAGGCTCAGATCTGAAACGAAGTTACCTTCAATGATGAAAAAAAAAACACACAACTAAGCCTTTAATCGGTTAAACAGATGAGTGAGAGTTGGGGAGAGATGAGTGAGATGAGAGCGAGTGTGAGAAAAATGCGGAAATAACACTTACTACTATACACACCACCATTTTCGAAGCTTTACGGCACGTGACCACGGTATGGGCATGCAATGAACCTGAACCCTCCAATTCTTAATTTGGCCAATCATGTCACTCTCAACTATACAATGATATATTTATCAAGGGACCAATTTCGTGTTTACATCAAAAGTTGTGCCACATCAGATTCGTTCCATGCCCTAACATTTGTCGTGTTATGACATGAGGCTTACAAGTCTACAACATGAATCGTCTGATCTTGATCGAACGGTCATTGTCACTTCTTTTATATATACAGGGTGAATGAGAATAAACATAAAATAATAATGCATTCATACATTGCAGTGGTAATACTATAAAACTATATGTGAACTTTCAAAAGTAAACAAATTAATTTAATATGGAGTACTAAAAATAATATACGAATGGTTTATTTTATTCAATAGCCTTCTAAATAAGTTTTTGTGTGTCCCATTTACAGGTTTTTCTGTAGGGTTATGGGCACCCCAATTGACATCATTATTTTTTTTCTTTTTTTGGAAATTAATGTAATCTTCAAAATGTTGAACTACAACAAGTCTAGATTGCTATAAATTAATAAATAAACTATAATATGTCTAGTTGAATCAATGTTATAATTGATTGTACAATATGATTATATGACAAAGAAAATGATGTAATTGTCTATGGCGCAAAAAAAAAAAAAAAAAAAAAAAACTGATGCGTCAATTATTTAGATAAATACTTAATAGGAGAGAATTTATAGATTTTTGTATCATTACTCATATGATAATGGCCATTCACCTAATGCAATCTATTTTTTCAATTTATGAAGAAAGACAATTTTATTTGTGCGTTACAATCCACTATTGTGAAAATGATTTTTTATTATTATTATGGAGTATTATTCTACAACAATAATTTACAGTAACCTGAGTTTTTCATAATCCCAAGAGTGAAATTACTAAAACAGAGTGAGAAAACCAAAAAGACAATTAAAATGATTAGAGAGAGTGAGATAAGAAAGAGCTGCAACTTGTATAACAATAATTTATAGTAACCTGAATCCCCATAGTGAAATAGTGAAGTTACTAACACAGGGTGAGACAACCACAAATACAAATAAAATCTACTGAATCCCCATACTAATACAGGGTGAGACAACCACAAATACAAATAAAATCTACTAGAAGAATTAATGGATGGGAGAGCATACAAATTAATTTGTTGGTTGCAGTATACTCGAATAGATATTTTAGATCGATCTAACAGAATTCTCAAAACTTTTTTATGCTATCATGTGATATATATATATATAACACAATATGAAAATAACAAAGATTTCATGCAAACAAACGACAAAATTAGAACATGCACAATTAACAGTTTCATAGGTCTGACAGTTTTACATGACAAATGAAAATTGTCAGACATTGTAGAGCATTGTCTGGTACTAAATTAAGTTCCGTTTAACTACTATCTCTACCACTGTTAAAGACATTCGACTAGAACACATACAACAGATTTTTTCACCATTGTCAGACATTAAAGCATCCATTTTCTTCACCAATTTGACATACTTCTCCGCCACATCATTGACAGACTCTTGGGTGTTCTTACCATCTCTTTTGTCGTCCCCGTAAAGTTTCCCTGGTAAAACTACCCTCATCCGACAACTCAACACCAAGTTCATCTTTTAACTTCTTCTTCTTCTTCTTGTCGAAATCCTCCGGATTGCATATCAACATTGCATCAGAATGAACTATCTCCACTTTCCATCTTTAGTTCTGTCATGCCCAACCTGTCCCGTAGCAAAAGACCCAAGGTTGCTCCCTCTCGATACAACAGTAATAAAAAGATATTGATCTACTACTACAAATTAAGCAATTCTAATGATTCTCTTCTATAAATGATAGCACATACCTCAAACCTGGAACCTCAGCCCCCTTAACCATCCACCGAAAAAAGCATATCATCAACTCACATATAAGCAACATAAATTCATTAAAAATAGTAACAATAGAACTGTCTTAATTTAACTCCTTTATTTACCCAAAGAAATCATAAAAGGAAAAGTAAAGACGAGTATATATTCCACAGTAGCACTAAATCAGCATCTTGACAGGGAAAAAAAAGATGAAACAAAACACAAAATTCCTCATAAGAGGAATAACAATCACCCAACACCAAAAAAACCTTGGCCCAAGTATTTATGATGGCTATACAAATGGAACATTCTTCACTGTCTAAAGACCTGACTAGGTTAAGCCACAACATGCCAGACTAACAAGTGAATATTCAAATTGTCCAACTTGAATAAACAACATTTCAGTTGCAACTTAGTACTTGCAATGATATAAAACTCCAAGGCCATTATCTTCCGTATCGAAGAGGTCAATAAGGAATGCTTAATAGTATACTAATAAACATGTTTAGTACAGATACTTTTTCGCTTATTCTGGTAATTAGTTACTTGTTTACTCCAAAAATAAATTAAACTGACCTAATAAAAACTATCAGTAAAAGAGATCCGCAGTATGCAAAAGAAGAAGCCCCAGTAGTAAAATTTTAGGGACATAAAATATATAGCTAGAGAAGAGTTGAGAATATAATTATAGAACATCTAGGGATTTATGTGCACTCACCAAAGACCCTTGAGCACCGTAGAGAAATACTTTTTATGAATTTTTTGCTTCTAGTTTTATAGAGTGCATATAAGATTTAGATTTCTATGAATTGCTATTTGCGCAAAAATATTCAGCAATGCTATAGAAATGTCACATTTCCAAATGCAAACTCAACTACTAGTTAAATCAAAACAGTTGCGGAAAGAGTAGTTAAATGATCAAGCTGTTAATCAGATCATAAAGAATACAATCATAGGCATGTAGTATGCAACTGCTTTGATTCAAATACATAGATGTGGTAATCATAGCCATATTTTTCAAAGGAAACTTTCAATTTAAGGAACTGTTAATTAAATCCTATAGAATAGGAACATATATAGGGCAAGAGATCAAGTTAGTATCACCATTTGAGATATATATGGCCAAGAAATAACAATTCTAAAATAAAAGCAGTTGCCAAAAGACTAATAAAATTAGGACTACCAATAAAGGCAAATTTGACACAACTGAAAATGAACCACTAACTACAACTCAACAACAAAAAAAAGAAATGCAATACCATTGTACTTCAGAAAAATATCCTACCAATATTAAAAAATAAAAAATAAAATACCACAAAAACTTGTGCAAAAGTACTTAAAACCCAAAATGTTAATCAATTTACTCAAACATTGTATATATGGCCAGAAAAAGTCATAACAAATGCTAAAAAATAATAAATCCCTAGAATTCAAATGCATGCCTTCTCTGTATAAAAGAAGCAGCCAAGCAATGATTCAATTTCAAAACACAAAATCAACCAGAAAATGAATAAAGAGAGAATCCATAAGAAACAAGCAGAATGCAAATCCTAGAAAAAGCAAATGTATGCGTGTATAAATACATCATCTATACAGAAAATGTATATACATACACATTATACATGCATAGAGAGAGAATGGAGCTCACCATGTCGTCGTTAGTAGAACCCTAAAAGGCACAGACAAAGGATGGAGAGAGAATTGTTAGTGGTAGTGATATTATTAGGGCTTCATGTACGTGCGCAGGAAAAAAAATACGTCGTCATTGTTTCCTAAACAGTATAGATGATGTCGTATTGTTTTCACTGTAAACAGCAATTACCGCAGATGTCTGCGTTGACTGTGTGTAAAAATACTCAGGAAGCTCCCAACAGCCCAAATCTCCAGACTGAAAAGACAAATGTATGTTGGCAAGGGTAAATTCATATATATCTTTTTTCAATTTTGATAGTAATATAGTATTTCATGTCACAAAAATTGTTCAATATAGAAACTTTACCCATTTATAGATTGCGAACAAAGTTATATGAAAGCGAACATATTTGTAGTCTACCGGTTGGGCTGCTTTCCGTTATTTTTGGGGTCCTGCTTCGAGTCTTCGCACCTCTAATTTTTAATCTAACACTCTTATCATGAAAAAAAAAAAAAGAAAAAAAAAGAAGGGTTATATGAAACAAAAATTCATGCACAATTATTGTAGGAGCATTTAGCTATATGCATGTTAAGCGTACGCAAGCTCAATCAGTTGCGTTTCCGTACTTAATTATATTTATTGTCAAGGGCGAATCCAGGATTTCTCAAAGGGGTGGGCTAAATCAAAATATATCAACCAAAATCTACTGTTGTTTAATTCAATTTTAGTTAATTAACAATATTTTCTTAAACAATTGACTGATTAAAGCATAGAAAATCCTACTTGGGTAATTAACAAAAAAAAAAAAAATTAACAATTTATTTGTGAACAATTCACCACTCAGTACCCTATCTCTTCTTTTGACCAATTTACTAATCCTATTTGAGAATCTACTAGTGGAAGCAGAGTGTGAGGTAGTTCATGGCAAGCCCTTTCCAACGCTATGGAATTCACTCAAAAGCATGCTTTTTGTAAGTATTTTAATTTTCAAGAAGTAACTTTAGAGCTTTACCCTATATTAACTACTTTTGCTTGTCAAAGTTCTTGTTATGATTATTTTTTTTAGTTCTGAAAAGATTTCCATCTTCAAAAAGCTTGATATGTTGATAAAAATTGTCTCAGATTCAATCTCTGCAGATTTATAATTCAATTCAGATTCTTTTTTTTTCTTTTTTCATGCCCAGATTCAAATTTTCTTGTAAACATGATTGACAACATAAAAAAAATTATAATAAAAAATTATAGAAATAAAGAAAAAATATTTGTTTTGCTGAAATAAAATGTAGATTACGGTGATTACCTCAAAATGCAATACATATTTTGTTACTTTATATTGTAAAAAAAAAAATAATAATTATATAAAAAAGATCATAAAAAATTTCACCAAATAGGATTTAGTTTGCAAAACAAGAATTACAGAGCTTGATTAGTTGATTTAGAAAAAAATTAAAACAAAACCCATACATACAAGTTAGCAGTTGCAGAGAGAGGGGGGCAAGCTTGAGAGTTGAGAGACAGCGGGCCAGCAGCTGAAGCTTGCAAACGGCGAACCCGAACTGTAACAGCGGGCGATGGAAACTGAAAGATATGGGTTTTGATTTTTTGAACAATCTGAAAGATATGGGTTTTGATAAGGTAATAGGTTTTGAAATTTTGATTCTTGCAGACAGATAGATAAAGTGAAATATATGGGTTTTGAACTTCTGATTCTTGTAGATTTTGTAGTTTGCAGTTGCAAAGGGATAGAGAGAGGGCAAGTTCAGAGTTGAGAACGAGAATAGAGATGGAGGGGATTGGGGAGGTTGAAATTATTTGTCCTAAAAATATTTTTTTTCTGGTGGCCCATCATACATGGGCCTATAAATTTTGAGGCCCAAGGAGACCGCCTTTGTCGCCTTGGGTCAGGGCCGGCCCCGGGCCTATTTGGTTTGAGCCTTTATTTTAGTATAGTGGCTGAGTTGACTTGGGCTTGATTGAGTGGGCTAATACTATTAAATTTTTTTTTTTATTGGGCTAAAAAATTGAAACCCACCCTTATTTCCGCCCTTGCTCGTAGTGTATAACTAAAAAGATATTATATTTAATTTTAAGTAACTGAAATATAAGAATGATAATTCCGTGAGCAATTAGGCCAAGTACAACTCATAACTGGGACAACAAAATAGTCATAAAGCTGGCCCAACACGGGAGAAGCCGAGGTTCACTGTCTGAACTAATAACTACAATTAACCACTTGATTAATTATTGATGGAGGTTGTTAGTACTCAATACGGTGCGTGCAAACCTTAGCACCACACCATTTTGGTACACAAAAAAGATGATCGGCGCGAACCTTGTCGAGAGACATACGTAGTGTATTTTGATAAGAACTTGGATCTTTCTGTGTAGCAAAATGGTGCTAATTTAAGTAAGACTGTCGACTAGTTTAATAAACAATTTCAAATGCCTAATTTATAAATAAAATAATTTAAAAGATAATTTAGGAAAACTGATTTTGTTAGTCTGATTTTTGTTTTGAGAATTGAATCACGTGGCATTGCTCCATCAGGCATGCAAAAAAAAATTCACTGATGTCTTAGTCCTAGTGTGGCCTTTGCAAGTGTGGCAAAAATTCCCAATCCGGTGGGGAACCGCCCCGCCCCCATCCTATTTAAAATAGGTTTGGAGAACCGTTTACTTAAATGGGATAGGGATGGGGGTTTAAAAAAAAAAACCAGCTGGTTTTGGGGCGAGGCGGGGGCGGGGAACTCAAATCCCCGCCCCGAAACCGACCCCGATTAATATGTTAAATTACTAATTTACCTGCCATGTTAAAATATTTATCAAATTAACCTTCACTATATATATATTGTAAATCCTAGACTTCACTTTTAGACTTTTCTTTCAAACTCTATATTCTGATAGTGAGGCGGCAGCCGCGACAATTTGACGAAAACAACAACCAGATAGATAAACTGAAATATATGGGTTTTGACTTTCTAATTCTTGTAGATTTTGTAGTTTGCAGTTGTAGAGAGAGAGAGAGAGAGAGGGCAAGTTCAGAGTTGAGAACGAGAATAGAGATGGAGGCGATTGGAGAAGCTGAAATATATGGGTTTTGACCTTCTGATTCTTGTAGATTTTATAGTTTGCAGTTGCAAAGAGAGAAAGGGGGCAAGTTCAGAGTTGAGAACGAGAATAGAGATGGAGGCGATTGGAGAGGCTAAAATATATGGGTTTTGACCTTTTGATTTTTGTAGTTTGCAGTTGGAGAGAGAGGAAGAGAGAGAGAGAGAGAGGGCAAGTTCAGAGTTGAGAACGAGAATAGAGATGGAGGCGATTGGGGAGGCTGAAATATATGGGTTTTGACCTTTTGATTCTTGTTGATTTTGTAATTTGCAGTTGTAGAGAAAAAGAGAGGGGGCAAGTTTAGAGTTGAGAACAAGAATAGAGATGGAGGCGATTGGGGAAGGCAAAAATGATTTGCCCTAATCGGTTATGGGGCGGGGGCAGTTATGGGGATTAGAGAAAAAAAAAAAATTAACCGGTTATGGGGCAATTTTGGGGATACCAAAATTAAACAGGGGTGGGGATGGGGAATGGAAAACCCGGCCCAAACCACCCCATTGCATTCCCTAGGCCTTTACTAGCTAGAATTGCCTAGAAACAAGTACTTATGAATCATTAATTTTTAAATTAAAAATGCAATACTCTTGCAATCAATTAAGTTAATTTTATATTTGGAAAATTAATTAATTTTTTTAATTAGTTTTTTTTCAAATTCAAATTTAAAACATCAATTCTCTCAAACATAATACACTACGAAATTTAACAACCAAAAAATACAACAATAATTTAGAAACTTTTCATTTCTAATTCAATGATTTTTCAGTATTGTAATTTGATATGTTGCACGGATATTACATTATATTATTATTATTATTATTTATTTTTTTCACCGCATGGATGTTATATTGCCTTTGCTAATATAATGTGTTGTATTACGGGACTAAAGCAGTGACTTCTCTTACTCGATGACAGTGTTGGACAGCATCAAACAAGGTCTTGCGTTGGATAACCATCAAGTTAAAATGTATCGAGTGTTTTGTTTTAAATGCAAGAGAGGCCTCAGATAATCATCCCACCAACCATAGCACGAAAGATAGGGTACAGTACAGCTGGTTCACAATTAAGACGGAGAGGGTTCCTCACCTGAAGGCACGTGATAAACCCCACGTGACTTTGCACGCGGGAATTGTTGTGTTCGCAGCAATAGTGCGTGTGGTCGACAATGGCCGGCGCCCACCATCATAGTTTATTTTTTTATTTTTATTACTGGAGGCAGCGAATCGACGCCGTTTCTCTTCACCTCTTCAAAGTTTCAATTCCATAAGTTTATGCAGATTTTTCAAAGAAATAAGGTTTTTTTAATTTTTATTTTTATTTTAGGTTAAAAATCATAGACATAAATTGAAACATGTGAACAGCATAAGAATGAAAATATTAGGGATTATTTGGTTTATCAATTTAAAAACAAGTCTTAAGAAATCAGAAAATATAAAATAATTTCGGGAGTTGACAATTAAATAGATTTTTGTACAGTTTTTAATTTTCTATTCTTAAAAATTAAAAAATTATTCTTAAAAAACCATCCAGCGTTCTTATTTTTTGGTACACATAAGGAGAAGGATACGGAAGAAGAAAAGAAGTCCTTAAAAATGTTTTATGGTATGATGATGGTCTTTGGTTTTTCAACTTTCTGTAGATGGTTGGTCAAATTTTATTAGTGGGACTTAATAAAAAATAATAATAATAATAATAAATGAACCTACTGTTAGATGATGTCAAAAAATTTCAATAAAAAGGTGAGACGGTACAAAAATCTGTTCAAATTAGTTTACCTTAGCCTTGGTTGTTAAATTTTTTTTTATTTGCTTGAGGTCAGTGGTTTGGGTCTAATGTCATATTCAGATACCCAAGAGATTGTCATGTCCACAACAAGCAACAAATGAGCCTCCCCCGAATGAGAATAAATGGGCATGTTCGTTTACCAATATTTGTATATCTGTTTAAATATATCTGTACACGTATCCATGCGATACACAAGTCACAAAAAATAATGTTGGTCCATGCCAAACATCATCCAAATTGGGTACCAATAATATCCATGTTCATGAATCATGACTTATTGACTTTCTATCTCATTGTTCAAAAACCATGGGCATAATGCCTATGTCTTCACTAACCTTTTTTTTCCCTGAATTATTTATTCACTAAATTTTTAAAATGGATATTACACTTACTTTTTTTTATAAATTGTCTAAATAATTGGAACATTCCCTATAATTTTAAAAGTAATATTGACTTCCTTTGTTAGTGTTAATTTTGACCCGAATTTGTTAAATGACTATTATATTCATTGTACTTTTATTAATTCAACATATAAACAAAAAAATATTTTTAAGTTTTCTAAGAACATTCTTAAATTTTAAGTAAATTTTAAAACATGTCAACGCATAAGGGTGTTGGATTTTATAAGTGAGGGGAGGTCAGCATTATATTTGAAGCTATATAAAAGATCCTATTAGTAATAAAAAATTTTAAAGAAAGAAAAGTGTAATTATCTATTTTTAAAACAACAACAATGACATGTTAAGTACATAGTATGACTCAATAATTTGTTACTCGTTATTACACCTTTTTACGTCCCCCCTTATTTTTATAAATTGGCATCATCCACTAGTCATCCCCTTAATTGTTATGATATTATTAACCCAAGTAAGCCAACTTCTCCTGGACAGTTCCACGCCTCGTTAGGAATGCCGTGGGTCATAGACACGGGCGGAGTTCACTATCTTTTTGAAAGAAAAGCAAAATTCCATCTTTTAATATGTATGTACATGGAGAATCTTGATGGTTATGAAAAATTAATCTCTCTCACAAAGATTTTACATATATTTTTAACTTCGAAAAGTCTTTAAATTACGGTTATTGTGTAATTCTTATTGGCGGGTCGTGTTTTTTTTTTTTATAACCCAGAACTTCCCGAGACACGATCCTTACGGACTCCACCCTGAAGCACCAAACTGGGGATACGGCAGCCTGCCCCACAACTGCAATACCGAGTAAGTCGACGAAACTAGAAGGTTTGGTAGAGGACTCGAACCCTGGCATCCTGTGTGGCAATCCCAAGCCCCACCATCAATGCTAGCCCGCGGGGGGCCGAACACATGTTCCTGTCATGTCAAAATATGAATATTTCGTTATATTGGTCTATACGTACAAACATGACACGATTATTATTTATGTTAAGAACACGTAACATCACATGACATGACACGACACGACACGAATTTAATAAATTGATCAAGACTTGACACAACATGAAACGGTACAATAAAACACGTTTAAGTCATTTCTAACACAAATACGATATGTACTAGCTAAATAAATTATTTTTATCACAAATACGACATGTTTAGTTAAACGGATTAATTGGATTATAAACGAGTTGGCAGATCAAATATGAACACGATACGTTTAATTACCGTGTCAATTCAGACACTATTTGTCTCATATCGTATTTGTGTCGCGTCAAATACTATTAGCCGACATGAATTTACCATTACAGTATCAAATAATTTATCTATTGCGACATATAACTAGGCGCACACATATATATATCTATATATATTTCTTTCCACCTTACGATATTCCATTTTTATTTTATTTTTAATGCTGTCAATTCAAAGAAAACATTTAAAACCGAAATGATATACAACTAATACAGGTTCAATATTCATGTATTTATTATATCAGCGTCCACATAACCAGAAAGGGCGGCTTCCTAGAATTATAAATGCTTGGTTTTGAGTTTCTTTATCTCATTGCCACTTCTTGTTGTTGCAGAATGCTAATCAAAGTAATTAAAGAGTCTCTCTTAAATTTAGGATCTCCCTCTTTTTCACTTATTTTGTGAAAAGTGGGAGATGAATTCAAAGATCCATACATCACTATGCGTTTATTGCCCTAAAGCTTGATGGAAACAATGGTTATTAAACATGGCATCCTATTTCTTAAAACAAATTAAGGGATAGACATTGATATTGATTTTCTTCAATAATTTGAATTATGATGTTTTTATTTATTTATTTTAGACAATTTTAAAATAAGAAGAAGTGTGATTTACTCCTTCCAAAACAGGCCTTCCTTTTTGGAATCTAACCTTTCAAGAGAATGATTTTTATTACTTTTTTATTATACTTAGTAGTAAATGAAGTACTAAATTAATCTCTAGTAGGTCTACAGTAAAAAATTATTTACTTTATATAGATTTAATGTAAGAAAGTTAAATTAATAATATTAAAATATATTTATATACAGAGTTGTCAAATAAAAATTTATTTTGAGACAGATAAATAAATATATATATTAAAGGAAGAGAGTACGTGGTACCTTTTTTTAGCACCTCAGTGTTATGGTCCGGGTCCCAAAAATGAATGGGCAAGCCATACAAGTTGACAAGGGCACTAGATTTGGAGCTTGTTAAACCACAAATGACCAACTTTCAACAACCACTTTTATTAGCAACAATGGTAGTGGCATCCCCCACCTACTGCGAAAAGGCAACTACTTTCTCAATTACTATACTTGTTTGGCAAATCTAATACCCCGTAACAAGTTAAGTGCATACATGAACGAACCTACCGTATCATTATAAGATCGTGGTCCAACCTAAAAAGGTTTTAGATCACCATGATGATTGATGACCATTATAGGCAAAAGAGAAATATATATATTACTAGGTACACTCATGCTCCTGATTTTCGTTTTTCACATGTCGTATGGTGAATATATTATTATATCTCAACGTCATACACATATAATTTAACCATTAAAAATTTACGTGACAATCGTCTTTAAACAAGACTATTACTTCATTTCAACGTGAGTACTGTAATTAGCCCTCATTTAACTTATTGTCCAAGAAAAACATATACTCCGCGTGACGTATGAATTAGTAATATTCTCTTTCGTCCATTAAATAGTTTTATGCACTTTATATAGGGAATGCAACGTCAATGTAATGCATTTATTTTGAGATTATAATTAGAGGTGTCGTAATCGTGTAATGTCAACTTAAGAGTATTCTACTAAATAGTTCAATTCAAACACGATCTGTTTAATAATTATATCAGGAACCTTCAACGCTAACCCAACTTGTTTATTAAACGAGTTACACGCGTAATCCGTTTAATGATTTATTTAATAAAAAAAAACATTATATTATTTAAATGATTAACAATACTTAATCAAACAATAAATACTAAAAAAATTATAAGTTTCAATCTAACCAAATTACTAAATAATCTCTAATTTACAATAGAATAAATTATTAGATACAAATGATAGTTATTTTGGAACTTAAATAGAAATTTGTTTATGACACGTATAGTACTTAATCGGGTATAAATGACACGATTAACTAAACGGGTTAATCGTGTCAACCCGTTTATGACCCAAACCCATTTAAAGTCAACACAAACCCACTTAACTTGTTTTAGTCGTGTTAGCGGGTCGTGTCAAACTTTGCCACCTCTAATTACAATACTCTTGCATATTACATTTTTTTGAACCTTAGTTATATACTATTACTCATTCTATCTTAAAATAAGTGTAGTGCTTTCATTTTTTGTCTGTCCCAAAATAATAGTCCACTTTTTTTTTTTTTAATAATATATTTCACATTTATCCATATACGTTCTTTGATTTTAAAATTTCAAATTTGAATATTCAAAACTTAAAAAGATAATTTAATAATTTCTTAGGGAGACAATGCATGTCCTACATGTCCCTTAAAAATTACTATTATACTTAAATTGGGACAAAAAAATATTACATTTCTATTGTTCCGATTTGCTATTTTATTGCATTGTTTATCAAGCTCAATGTGCAACTAAAATAAATTGAGAATGCTGACACCTGCTGACACCTTGCATAATTGTTGCATCCTCACTTTAATATTATTGTAATCACGATTTCATAATATTATATTTTTGGTTTATTTTTGTAAAAACACACAATACACGCATATTTGCGAGAAAGAGTTCCATGGCAAACAAAGGAGCAATTCAATTATGTCACGATCGTCAAACCACAGATGAAAAGAATTGACGGTTCTTACTATACATGCATCATCTATCATGTCGCTGTGTCGCTGTACCTGAAGTTGGCTTCTTCTGTGATTGCATTGCATTGTCCATTTCCCAACTGTGGAGGATCATTTTATTAGGTCTACCCCATTAACCCACAAAGTGACAGCTGTATCATTTTCACATCCCCATTTGTAAAATTATTACCTTAATATAATATACTCCGTTTTTTATTTGCAACATTTAACAAATATTGCCTTTAATTTCACTTTCATGCATGAGGAAGACAGGTGTATTAGGGGAGTGATCACGACTTGGGAGATATCCATGGTCCACATACCTCGATGTTGGAGGAAAAAATGTGAAAGTTTACCAAAATGACAATTTCAGATGGAAATTTCTGGACAGAAAAATCATCACAGATCTACACGTATCTTATTGTGAAGATTATCACATCTTAACTTGACTACTTCGGTTCGGTTTGATTTTAGAATAAATTGAAATTAAATTGATTTTAATATTCAATATTATTGAAATAATTAACAAAACTGAACATAATTCAACCATATATAATTTGTTTGGTTTTATGATTTTGAACCCTTTTTTTTTTAATCTATGCATTCATATATATATTCATATTAATATTTGACATCACATCACAATTGCATGAGATTGCAAGGATGAGTTGGATTGGTTAGAGCTTCACTTTTTTTCTTACAAGGGTATTCTCTCTATATATATATTGTAATTTGTATAATGTAATGAAAAAATGCTTTAATATTTGATTCTCTTATTTATGAGTCAACAAAATTAATAGTAGTATTATTTTATAATACCTGTGGACTGCATGCATTCATTCAAAAAAAGAAGAGTGTACGTATTGTCTTTCTTTAACTATATAACAGTCAAATATATATTTTGTGAGAAAATGAGTATGCCCTTCAATAATAATATGATTAAAATTAAAATAAAGAATGGAACCAAATTGATAGATACAAAAATTTGAATAATGATTTTTAATATTTTTGCCCACTGAATTTACTGTGGTGTAGAAACAAAAATTATTATTTGGAAAAGTCTTCGTTTATCTACTTAAATTTCCTTTACGCACTTCTTTCATAGATAGTCAAAAATAGATATAAATGGTTGACCGTTGATGGGAGAAGACTTTTTCAGGTTGACAGAAAATTCGTCCAGATAGAGGCTTAAAGAAGGATTGAATACATTAAGAAGTAAAAGTAAAATGGGTTAATGACAGCTTTTAGGACCCAATTTTACAATTGCTAAAAAATGCGTATACAAAATAAAATAAAAATTTATTTTATTATTATTATTATTATTTTTTTGATTAAAAAATTTTGAGTGTTAATTTTATACTGTTAAATTAAATTGAGATTTTTAATTCACAATTTTCTTTATTAATATATACGCATTCTGTCCCATACAAAATATCCCATTTTCGGATGGAAATGCTTGAGCTTCCTGATCACAATAGAAACATCTCTATTGCTTTAAAGGTGTTCACACCTTCTTAAGGTAATGCCTTTTCAATATTTTTTTTAAAATTAATGATGAATGAATTATTAATTTATTTATTGCAGATCACAATGATATAATAATTTATTTTTTATAAATCTGTTAAAAACTAAATAAATTAGTAATATTATAAAAAAAATATTGAATTTTGAATTAAGACATTTAATTTTGGACAGCTAAAAAGAAAAAATTGAATTTTTGTTAAGAACAGAAGGAGTTTAAATTATATTGGGTCACTTGTTACTATAAATGAAAATTTCGGTTGACATGTGTTAAACACAAGACACAGGTTCAATATTAGATGTGGTCAGTCACTTTATACGGATGACTAGGCCATATGAGGTAGTTACTCGCTTTATATATGATGTGTAATAATATATGATGGGTAATAAGGTAATAATATATGATGTGATCACTCACTTTATATGGATGACTAAGCCATCATTAAATTTTATTTTCTCCTCCTTTTATATGGATTATCGAGCCATATTTTTCTCTTTATTTTTAATTTTTTCATTTTTATGTCCAAAATGATTGAATTTGAATTAATCAAAACAAGTTCAGGCTAATTTAGTAATATCGGACAAATTCTGTTCCACAGTGCACACGTTTAAGAGAGAGAAAGTCCCAACATCTGATCCTTCCCTGGCTCTTTCCGGTCTATGTCCTGATAAAAGCTTATTAGCTCAAAGACAGGTACGAGAGAGAGAGAGAGAGAGAGATAGAGGAGATATAAGGAGACCTGCACTAAAGAATCCCTTTCTCTTTCTTCTCATTTCTCTCTCTACTCGCCCCATCCTTTCTACAGCTTCTTAGCAGGAACGAAGCGAAAGACTTTGTCTTTCCCATTATTTCTTCGCCATGATCTCGTTGAACGGAAGCACTTTTCTGGTAAGAAATCAAACCCTTTTCCCCAAATCTCAATTTAAACATACCCAATTCAACATATTTGTTCGAAACATATCTGTTCGAATTAGTTTCCCATTTTTTTGTTCTCCCTGTGTTGCTTTGACATTGAATACATTTTATTTTAAAAAAAAATTCGTTTTCTTCTTGTGAAAGTTATTGAATCAGATTGGTATGAGTTAAAACCAATGACCCATTTTGTTGATCTGATTTTTAAACACCACCCATTTCAATTCTTTCTTCAAAATCGTTGAATCAGCTTTGCATTTCAAAACCCTTTGATGTAATTTGTGTAATTTTAATTGATAAGAATTGAAGCTATTGTTTGTTGACTGTACACAGAACAACTCTCTTTATGGGGTTTCCAGAAGCTTAGCTCAGCCGCAGAGAAGAGTCTCAGCTCCATTGGTGGTGGCTGTGAGCTCAAATGGCCGACCAGCGGATCGAAACGTCACCGTATTGATGGAGAGTACTCTGAAGGAGATGAGAGATGGTGCTTCTGTGCTGGACGTGGACCCCAAATCTACCGTCGGTGGTGGGGTTGAGGACACGTACGGCGAGGACAAAGCCACCGAGGATCACCCTGTAACCCCTTGGACTGTCTCTGTTGCTAGGTCAGAGATCGATGAATTATTAGTTTCGATGATTTCTATGCTTTTTCTTTGTCCCATTATATTTTCCTTTGTTCGTCTAAACATGTCTATTTGTTTTTAGTTAATAAGATGAGAATTATATATGGTATTGTGTGATATTTATTTCGCAATTATCAGCTATAATTTCATTTTATAAGTTTTGTTTTATTTTATTTATATAAAACTATATGTTTGTGTGTGCGTGTTTTATATTTTTAATTTTTATTTTTAATGATACTATGATTTGTGGGATGTTCTCAGATATTATTTAAACCCCTTATGTTTCAACCATTTATTTTTTAATTTAATTTAATTAATTTAATTTAATTTATTTTTATTAATGCTTAGAGTCCTTTTGTATCATTAATGAATAATCCCCTCTAGTTTGCAATAAAATTTCTGTTCTTTCAGTTAATATGTTGTTTTCTATTTGAAAAATAGCTGTCTAGTATTTGAATGCAGTATATCTTGTGTTCTGAGAGGATGTAAAGCTTATAAAATTATTTACTATTTGTTTATTTTACGCATTCAGATCATGGATGAAATTTTGATCTTTGATTATTGTATGAATATAAAATCTTATGGTTCAGTTGAATTAGATGCTGGACAAATAAATATCCAAAATATATGTTTAATTTAATTTATTATTTTTATTAATGCTTAGAGTCCTTTTGTATCATTAATGAATAATCCCCTCTAGTTTGCAATAAATTTTCTGTTCTTTCAGTTAATATGTTGTTTTCTATTTGAAAAATAGCTGTCTAGTATTTGAATGCAGTATATCTTGTGTTCTGAGAGGATGTAAAGCTTATAAAATTATTTACTATTTGTTTATTTTACGCATTCAGATCATGGATGAAATTTTGATCTTTGATTATTGTATGAATATAAAATCTTATGGTTCAGTTGAATTAGATGCTGGACAAATAAATATCCAAAATATATGTTTAGTTTTAATTTGAAGGGGTCTTGATTTTCATGAGGGTCTCTTTTGGGATGCTTTACACTTCCACGAATTTTAGGTTTGGGTAGCTAAAAAAAAATTCTTGAATTCTTTTTCATTTCTAAGATCTTTCAGTAGTTCTATCTCCTGCCATTCTTACTCTTAACTCCATCAATTTGTTGTGAATTTGTTTTCGTATTCAAATTCTATCAATGAGTGGCTAAAAAATTCTGAATCTTTTTTACAGTGTCTCATTACTTTTCCAATTCTTTGTTCTGGAATTATCTTTGTTCCTGTTTTGTTAATCTATGAGATAGTAATTATTTTCTCATTTTGAGGAAATGGTGATATCTATTTTGGCATTTTAATTCCATTAATCAATGTCAAAGATTTTTTTAGCTGGGTACTTCATTAACTTATTCATAAATTCCATTCTTTGTGATGCAGTGGTTATTGCTTGTTGCGGGATCCACATCATAACAAAGGGCTTGCCTTCTCTGAGAAAGAAAGGGACGCCCACTACTTGCGTGGTCTTCTTCCACCAGTAGTTGTCAGTCAAGAGCTTCAGGTTGTATAAAAGATGGATTGCCTCAGCTTATAGATCCTCCATTTTTATTTATTTATTTATTTTTTCTTCTTCTATTGATTTACCAACATTTGAAAAACCATTAATATTTTTCCTTGCCACTTTGCTTACCAGGTCAAGAAACTTATGCACAACCTTAGACAGTATGAAGTACCATTACAGCGGTACATGGCAATGATGGATCTTCAGGTAGGCCATTCAAACCATTCATTCACATTCTGGGCTTTTTTATTGTAGTAATTATTAGCATTGTATCCAAAGTCTAATCAAATTTCCAAAAGTACTGAGTTACAGTTGAGGGCTTCTGTATTTAGCAATATTACCCAAAATGTTTCAAGTCCTTGGTTCATCACTATGCCCGGAATTTGGTGGTTGAAGAAGTAATTATATTTTCTGTTTGGTACTTTTCCTGGTATACAGGAGAGAAATGAAAGGCTTTTCTACAAGCTTCTCATTGATAATGTCGAAGAACTGCTCCCAGTCGTCTACACTCCAACAGTTGGTGAGGCATGCCAAAAGTATGGAAGCATCCTTGGGCGTCCTCAGGGTCTATTTATTAGTTTGAAGGAGAAGTATGTTTTATTACAATTTGTTTAAGTTTCACAACTTAGTGGCAGTGCTTTCTTATTGTCATGATGGAACTGATAAATAATAGTTCCTTGCAGGGGTAGAATTCTAGAGGTATTGAAGAATTGGCCTGAGAAGAAAATTCAAGTTATTGTTGTCACTGATGGGGAGCGGATTTTGGGGCTTGGGGATCTTGGCTGCCAGGTAAGCTGTATGTAGATTTAATTTCTTGGAGTGACTTTATAATATATAATGTGCCATTGAATTCTGAGGTGGATTTGAGTGAGCGTGTGATTTTTCAAAACTAATTTGATTGTGACAATGTGTGAATTATTGCCAGGGAATGGGAATACCTGTTGGGAAACTTTCTTTATACACAGCACTTGGTGGGATTCGTCCTTCAGCTGTAAGTATTACGGAATTAGAACTATTGTTTCCTGTAATGGATTTGGAGAAGCTAGATGCTTGTAGACAAAGAGCGGGCTTGGTGGAGCCCCCCACATGAGGCAGAGGGGGAGATTTGTTGGGTGGTCCGCCCCATGTGGGGTGACCACGTGGGCCCCTGAAGTTTCGCCTCGTCTGCCAGGGGGAGTTGACCATTCACAGTCCTATCTGAAACATCACCCGTCTCGCCCATTCCTCGAAAGAAGCCTTGCACTATGTGGAACAAATTTGGGTTGCCTACTAGCACCTCACCTTTGTTTTACGGACTTATTCGCCAGGGCCCATTCTGCCCTTCGCGAGATAGGGCGAGCCAGCTAGCCATTTTCGTTCAAGGCTGAAAGTCCTACATATATCGATGGCTCCTTGTTAATGTCAAAAGCGGAGTTGAAGGAGAACTGAGTCAAAATGACATGTACCTCAATTCAAAATGATGTCTTTTTTATTGGCATTGATTACTGCCCTGAATCCTAGGTCACAAAATTAGTTTCTGTTTATCTATTGCTTACTACTGCAAAACTTTGTGGGTGCTATACAGTCTTTTGTAGCATGCCATCATGGTTGAGGGGGTTTTACAATTTATCTTTGGATACAAAGGAAAAAAAAAAAAAGGTTCCAAAATAGTTTTAGTAGATAACTTGGTTCACTCTTGGTTGGAGTGATGAATTATGCTGCTCCATAGTCTACATGGCAGGCTGCTTTTTCTTGAAAATTTGGACTTGAAGTGACAATTATAAAGGTCAAAAACTTCGAAACCGGAACATACTGTACACTTAATCAATTTGTCATGCTTTTCTTGTTGGTACTTATTTTCATAAAAGGAATAAAGTTGATGAGATTTAGTGATCCTTTACAGTGCTTGCCTATAACAATCGATGTTGGAACAAACAATGAGAAGATGTTAGATGATGAATTCTACATTGGGCTTCGGCAAAGGAGGGCAACTGGACAGGTTCATATTTTGGGTTTTTTTTTACATGCCTAATCTTAATTCCGGACTCAAATTGGGCACATATGCTGAGTGTTTCTGATATATTCCTTTTTTTTAGGAATATGCCGAACTTCTGCATGAATTTATGGCTGCAGTCAAGCAGAACTACGGGGAGAAAGTCCTCATTCAGGTTAGTAACTTTTCACCGAAATACAGTTGATTAGTTTATTTATTTATGGTATAGTTCTAAAGTTAATTTTTTCAATCAACTTGCAGTTTGAAGACTTTGCAAATCACAATGCCTTTGATCTGCTTGCAAAGTATGGCACCACTCATCTTGTTTTCAATGATGATATACAGGTAGTTGGAGTGTTTTTTTCTTTTCTTTTCTTTTTTCCTTTTTTAATGTTTCAGATGTAACAAATTTGTGTATTTGCAATATTTGCTTTGTGTCAGGGGACAGCATCAGTGGTCCTTGCAGGGCTCATTTCAGCACTAAAGTTAGTTGGAGGAACCTTAGCTGAGCATACATTTTTATTCCTTGGAGCCGGAGAGGTTTGCCCTTACTGTCCAGTCTCAAGAGTCTGTGTTCTTGATTATTGTTTTAGCCAGTATCTAGTAATGAAGAAATGGAAAGTTATAAAAATAAAATCAAGTTCTAATATTAGGTTCTAATATTAGGTAGTAGATTAATTTTAACCCTCTGCTCCTCCATATTTAATATTTTTGTGCACTGATGTTGTTGGTCTTACTTCTATCACTTGCTTAATGCAGGCTGGCACTGGAATTGCTGAACTCATAGCTCTTGAGATGTCAAAACAAGTTAGAACTTACTACCACAATATTTTCTTCATATTTTGTCTCCCAGCTTCCTTTCAAGCAAGCTATGAATCTTAAGAAAATATAAGGAGAGTTTATACCTTATTCTTAATGCAGACAGGAGCCCCATTGGAAGAGACTCGCAAGAAGATTTGGCTTGTGGACTCAAAGGTAATAAAAACCACAATATCTGCTCCCAGTCTTGTTAATTTTTTCCTTGCATCAGTTACAACATCCATACAAAATTTTCAGGGTTTGATTGTTAACTCCCGCATGGAATCACTTCAACATTTCAAGAAACCCTGGGCCCATGAACATGAGCCTGTTAAAGAACTTGTGGATGCTGTTAAGGTGTGAAATCTCTCTCTCTTACTCACTGATACACACATAAAGCTAAGTTTTTTTGGCCTCTTCATTCCCTTGTCTTGCTTCCTCAGGCAATCAAGCCAACAGTGTTGATCGGGTCATCAGGAGCAGGAAGAAAATTTACGAAAGAAGTGATCGAGGCTATGACATCATTTAATGAGGTATTGAATTTTCATGTGTTCTTTTGTCCATCTATGTAGTTGCTGGAGGAAATGTATTTCCAACTTGAAGAAACTGACATTCTTCAAATGATTGGCTTGCAGAAGCCCATTATTCTCGCTCTTTCTAATCCTACTTCACAATCTGAATGTACTGCTGAAGAAGCTTATACTTGGAGTGAGGTATTATGGATATGCAGCTTCTCTGTTTCCCACAACATGCCCTATAATCATTTGATATTGATCAATTCTACCCAGGAATTCATTATGGTCTCTATTTTGTTTCTTTGAAACTTTTGCTTGCTTCTTCCAGGGACGTGCCATTTTTGCTAGTGGGAGCCCATTTGCCCCTGTTGAATATAATGGGAAAGTTTATGTGTCTGGCCAGGTCCTAACTTTTTAGAACTTTCTTCAACTATTTTCAAATTATTATTGAGAATGAAACATTGAGGACTGACATTGATACTGCACTTCTTTCTCATTCAGGCAAATAATGCATACATTTTCCCTGGATTTGGTCTGGGTCTGATAATTTCTGGTGCTATCCGTGTTCATGATGACATGCTTCTGGCAGCTTGTAAGTGCACAGTTTGTATGTGTGTCAGTGTGTGTGTTTTTCAAGGAATCTATCTTAAGATGCAAAACTGACAGGCTTTGAGTAACTTCCTTGAATCTTCTAAATAAGCATGTCGCTAGTTTACAGACTTGCAAGACTGCTTGCTGTTCATTTAGCCTATCTGCAGGGGGGTAGGGGTGTTTTTGTTTGGTAGCTGTCTTCCGTCAAATCCATTAATTACATGCCATTCAATTCTGGGCTAGCCAACTGCGCGAGGCTCCCACTATTCGGGGTTTGAGGAGGGTCAAATGTACGCAGCCTTACCTGCAGATATACTGTTTCCCGTTTCAATCTCGTGACCTCTAGATCACACTGGAACAACCTTACCATTGTGCCAAAAGGCTTTGAATTAATACAAATTTATCAAACTAAAAACCTGAATTGGAATCAGAACCTTCGAGATGGGGAACCACCCAAGTGCTTTGGTGTTATTTGGTCATTCCCTTGTTGCCAAAGTTCTTAGATATATTATCTTTGAAAATTTATCTGTGGACGGTATTTGCGAATTTGTCACAATTAACCCATCAAAGACTTATCTCAAGTTTGATGCTAATATTCTGATAACTTGTGCTCCATCCCTTTTTGACAAATTCTTTGGCTATTGGTTATGTCCTCATGATTATACCTCTTTGGCACCTAATTGGCATGATCTTATTTCATTTTCCAACTCAATTGTCTTTTTTGCAATTTGTAACCTATTATTCTTAAAGGGTGCATATCAGAAATGGTTTTGTTGTGGCCTGATTTCTTTTTCAGCCCAGGTGACGTTGCAACCTGGTTATTAACTTAGATTTTGACGCTATATTTTTGCCGTTCCTGTTTTGGACCAGCTTCTAGTCTCTCTTGTAATTCAGTATATAAGGGGGCTATGGTTTTTGTATTGTTCATGGCTCATGCAATTTTGAGAATCTTGAAAGAGAGACAAAGGGTGTATTGAAATTAGGGTTTGAGAAACTTATACATCTCTTTTGTTCTTCGCATGGTGAAATCTCTTTGCTGAACTTCACCGTGAACGTAGAACTATAAGCTTAATTACTGCGTCAAATGTTTTTGTTGAATGTGGTGTTTGTTTGGTTCTCATTTCTGTTATTGCTTGACTGACTGCGCTTTGCCAGTGTTTCTCGTAACAGTTTTTTATTTGCAGTTTCTTGTCATAATTCATTACATCTTTACAATGTGAATTTGTTACATTGCAACAGCGGAAGCTCTAGCCGAACAGGTCACAGAGGAGAATTTTGACATGGGACTCATATACCCACCCTTCACAAACATCAGGAAGATTTCTGCCCATATCGCTGCCAAGGTGGCTGCTAAGGCTTATGAACTTGGTGAGATCCATTCCCAGTTTATTCAACTCATAAACGACATCCATACAATACTTCCTAAGCTTTGTTTTATATTAATATCATTTGTTATTTTGTTATAGGATTGGCTACTCGTCTCCCTCAACCCGAAAATCTGGTTGCATATGCTGAGAGCTGCATGTACAGCCCCAGTTATCGAAAGTATAGGTGAATCAGTGGAATGTTGTGTACTTTTTAATCATTTCGGAGTTTATCGTATGGGATTGTCATTTATCATATCAACTTTTTTTTCTTTTTCTTTTTCTTTTCCACATTCATTTCCATTTTCTTCCAACTTGTAAGTTATATAAATTGTTGGTGGGTAGTTAGAGAACCATGGAGGGTGTTGCTAGTCAGATCATTAAAGATCAATTTTAGCTTTATACACGTGTGGACTGATGAAAATTATACTCGAAATAAAATACTGTCTTAAACAGAATAGACATTTATAAATTTTTTAATTCAGGGATTTTTATGGTAAGCACCAAAATTAACTCAAACAAATGTTCAAGCTACATTGGATACAACATTTTGTCATTTTGACACAAAATTTTCAACTAGAACGCTTTTTAGATGTCATTTCAGCATCTTTTGATTTTCCAAAGCTGGGTCGAGTTAAATGTTTAAATATGAAGAAATACCAATGATATTTACAAAGTAGCCTAAAGGCAAAGAGGTTTTTGACATGATCTCGTAGTGCTTATTGTACACTAATGGTATATAATAATAAAAAAATAATAATAATAAACAGGCCTTATAGGATTTGTGTGTCAAGTATTGGGCTGCTTGCATTAGAAGGTCCAATCCAATGTTGGACCATCCTGTTTTTCCTTTTCTTTTTCTCGGAGTGGATTTAAGTTATGAGAGTTCTTTCTTTCATCATATATTTCAAACTTTATGCATTCTTAAGTTTATTGATGATTCAATCAGCTACAATTTTACTTTGCCATGGATCTTTAGTCAAACATGTTATATGAATTCTGTAAAACTAAGCGATATTGTTGTGCCAAATACACAAGTCTGGGACATGGTTATGGTTATGAGATATGTGCACCACACTTTTAGTTAAACAAAACGTATCAAAAAGATTACTTACATTATTGCTCAAAAGGAACAAAATTCTTATCAAAACTTTAATTTACTTTTTGTAAAAATAAAAATATTAAAAAATATGAACTTTTAGTAATGTCCAAGTATCATTTAGTTTTGAAATTTGACATTTATACACATTCACGTTGTACTCCATGTAGTCGATCCTTTAATTAACATATTAAGCGAATTGTTCATTTGCAATTATAATTTTATGAGCGATGATATAGCACTCAATACCTAATTAGTTGGGTGTCTCATAAAAAGTGTAGGCCTACCACAACTGGTGAGCTCACACCTCGTGAGTCACTCAACTTTCGAATGTGTCAAATTGATTAGTATTTTTCTAAATTTAAATATTAAAAAAGAAAATGATTCTCAAGTCTACTTGTTAGACTTGCTTCTCAAACTAAAATAATTACGACTATTGATCATTTGAAGTAGAGCCTAAAATGCAATCTCTCATCAATTATTTTAATTATTTCACTACGAAAAATAAGCCTGGGTCTGAAAACAATCCTATTAAAAAAAATTAAAATGTCCAACATTGAGACACCGACACAGAAAACAATCCTGTTACTTGGGCTCCGAACTTTGTTTTGATGAAAACTCAATACAAATCTCTGTTTTCATATTTAAGATTGGGCTTTAGGTATAAAATGCACTTCTTCTGAAAGCCACAAAGGGTTTGGTCTGCTGGCATGACCCCACGTGAAGTACGGACATTATATGTATAGCTAAAATTATGATCTTATAATTAAATTTTTATAATAAAGTTTCGTCAATTCAGACAGTTCTCGAAGTTAACATATTCTATTTCATTTTCTTTATAAAAAAAGAAAGAAAATAAATAAATAGAGGGAGGCTAAAGTCTGAAAATCTTGACTTTGCCTCATCCAATCTGTCTAAAAAGCATGTGCATCCTATTGAGCCACCACATGTCCGTACACATCTACTTTAATCCCTTTGTCTTGAGATAAGGTTCCAGTTCATAAAAAATCTTAGGTGAATAGACCATAACATACGTCTAGGAATTGAACCAAATTTTTTTTAAATTTCACAAATTCTAAGATTGTTAGAATCAAGAATTAGTATTAAAATCTCTTGGTACTGGATTGGCAATATCGTTGGGCATTATTTAGTAACATAATGTTACGAGTGGACGTTTACCTATTTATCCAAAAACTTAAATTATTGAATAGTGCTGCATATCTTACCATTTATATCCTTTTTATTTTTTATCCCAATCCAACTTGGGACAAATACCCCCTTGTAACACCTAGTAAGTAGAACGTCCAATTTTCTGATTTGAGACTTCCTTCCCTAATTTATTAGGATTTAAAAAAAAAAAAAAATGTAGAAAGTGAAGGAGGAAGAATATAATAAGCAACATTTCACTTAACACATGCATCAAACATTCAATGATTAATTCTCTCTTAAATAAATTTCATATTGCTACTCTTCTGTAATTTATAAATGAGCTATGTCGCATGATCAAAATTAATTTATTTTTTTTTTAAAGTTTTATTTATTTTTATTCTCGACAAGAAATGCACTTACACGCTTACTTGTTCTTATAAAACCTGAATCCTCGACATTTTATAAAAGGCAACAAAAAATTAAATAACAGCAATTATAATGAAAGACTGTCACCAAGTAATGAGATGTTACAAGGAAATGGCTGGCTGGCTGGAATACTTCTATTATTTGATTATCTATATTATTGTTATTGTTATTGCCTAAATTGATTAGTTATTTAGTATATGAAGCAATAATCCCCAAACAATAATAATTGTGATTAAAAAACAAAACGACACCTTAATCTTTGTTCTTAGGTTAAAATTAAATGATTTAAGTCAAACTTGGCTTAATCTAAGTTTTGGGGCAATCTAGTATGATTGGTGCTTAGGTCTCTTACTTCTATATTTATTTTGAAATTTTGGTGCAAGTCACATAGAGCAGAAGAGAAATCAATGTATGATTTGTGATGTCAATGGATTGAGAAATCCACCTTCATTTCAATGATTGACAAAATATGATTGGAAGATGTATCATTCTATGTGTCGTCTCTCTTCTTTACTTCTGGCTAAAATTATTGACTCGACCATGACAATGGCCTCTCCAAACATTTGGTTTGTCCACATACATGTAACCCATGGTGTGTGTATATAGATATATATATACGAAGAGTGCTAGCCACACTTGCATACGTGTCAGCAGCTTATTGGTTGCTGACATTTTTGTTTTTTTGTGACTACACTGGATCCTCTCCCTCTCTCTTCTCTCTCGGCCCCCTCTCAATCTCACTCTGCAGACCCAAAAACGGGGCACAAAGAGAAACCACGCCAATAGCAACCTTCGCTGAAAAATCACACCTTCATTGCTGTCATCGCGAAAGAAATCAAGCCATCACCACAGATAGTCGTCGTTTTTGTTGAGGTCTGAGTAGAGGTTGTGGACAGATCGGGTTACCGAAGCTGCCGTTGCTTATTCGGGCTTTGGTGGGCGAATCTGGATCTGAGCTCGCCGTTGGAGGAGAGGGTCGGCGGCTTGGACGGCCGGTTATTCGCCGTAGGGCCGCCGGTGAGTACAATGAGAAAGAGAGCGGAGAGCGAGGGAGACCAGCCGGAGACTGAGAGAGAGGGGGTGAGAGAGATGGGAAAAAGAGAGTGCAGAGAGGAAGCGAGTGTAGCCCGTAGGTGGCGGCTGTTCCTGTGGTTTCTATTTGTGCCCCATAAATGGGTCTGCAGAGAGAGAGAGACAGACAGAGAGGGGCGAGAGAGAAGAGAGAGGGAGAGGATCCAGTGTGGTCACCAAAAAAAAAATTGTCAGAGACCAATAGGCTGCTGACAGCATGCGAGTATGGAGCGACAGTTGCACCCGCGACTGCCGCTACCACTCGTGATCATTAATTACAAACAAGTTGTTCTTATAAAACGTTTAAAATAGGTAGGGGAGGTAAAATAGTAATTTTGCAAAAGTTGAACGTATCTAGATTTGTCTTTCACATTGCTATCAATACTTTCCACACACATCATATGACCATATTTTGTTGAAGAATAAAATGACAAAATACCTTTTCTTATCCTTTGTTCCCACTCCACACTTGGTTCGGCTTTTAAGTGGAGAAAGAATATATATATATATCTCTATCTATCATATAAATGGAGAGTTTTTAAATAGATAAGTTATTCAAAAAAAAAAAAAAAAATGTAAATGTTAACATTAAAAAAATAGTGTGAAGTTTCTTCAAATGCCCAATCTACCCTTTTTACCTTTTATTTTTATTTTATTACGGGACCTATACAAAAATTGATACCCAAATGCACAATGACAAGTTGGTGTACAAAAATAATACCTAGACATAAACAAATTTTAAACATTTTTGTCAAAATTAAACATTGTAAAAAACATTAGTCAAATTTTAGATTGTCATTTTGTTCCATAATATTGAGAAGAGGTGATAAAAATTTAGCTCAAAAAATAATCACGATCTTGCATAGAAAATAATATTTGGGTGCATAAAAAGTGACACTAAAGCGTACAAAAAGTGATACATTGGCATAAAAAATGTTACTTAGGTCATTTTGCTACAACAACAACCAAAAGGGCATAGTATGCATTTGAAAAAAATGCAGTATTTTTCATGTTCGCATCATAATTTTTGTAGAATTCATCTATTTGAAAATCCGGAACTTTAATTTCATGTAATTGTAAAAAGATTCCCTAAGTTCATATATTTGTAAGTTTTCAATATACATAGAGAGTGTTTTTCAAATAAATTGTTTGGGAAAAAGGAAGCTAGTAATAATTAATTCTGCCATTTTGTCTTTATTTCATACGAATTAATTGGTTGACAAAATGTATTATGAGAGAAAAAATTGAAGAGCCCTAGGAATTTCACTAATTTAAATGAATTTATTTGTCTTAATTAATATATAACACGTTACTATCTTAATGATACTTTAGAATCAAATGTTGATACTTATATATAAATAATATCACCTACTAGCAAATTATATATTATAACCGGCTCTTCTCTCTCATCATCTCAAGAGTTACCAGATGATAATTGCAACATATTAAATGAGAACATCCCTAACTTTTAGCTCATGTTAAAGCTATTGTTTGCCAAAAGATCCTTTAATGAAAAAAGATTGAGAAGTGGATAACAACAATATGAATCAGAAAGACATGTACATAGATATATGTATAGATATTGATATATTATGTGAGTGTAGCTTCTACACGTGTGTGGTGATTTTGTCACCAACCCTCTTCAGCCCGACCCCACACGCTTTAAGTCTCGGCTTATTAGTAATTACTTCGTGTAAAAGTTAGGGAAAAAAGATAAAAATAAAATAAAATAAAACTTTGTGTAAGAATGTGTTGAAAAATTAGTCATTATTATTATTTTTTCCTAACAAATTACACAAAAACAAAAGATACATTGTCCAACGGCACTTCACTAATGGCTAATCAGAGAGTTTTTTTTAGTGTTATTTACATAAAATGAATTAGGAAAAAAAACTTTTTTTTTTAGTTTTATTTACATAAAAAGATCATTTGGTACTCAAAATCACACCGACCACCAATTAACCTACCTAAAAAATGAAGTTATATCTATATATATATATATATCATTTGAACAAAAATAAAAAATAATAAAAAAAGAAAAAAAAAAAAGAAAGAAAAAAAAAAAGAGTAGATCACCACACAAGGAAAAAGGTAAAGTGGGGCTATTTTAAGATCCACGTGGCAACTTGTGGCTCATTCATTAACTACATTGGGATGTTTGGGAGTTCTATTCCAAGTTGAACACCTTCACATCAGTTAAAAGAAGAGTAATAGACATAATTATTTTCCAAAAAAAAACAAGAGTAATAGACGTAATTCCCAAAACACCCTTCCTGAATTCTAAACATTAGTTTGTATCACACATTTATTCTGAGAAATGTAATACCCGTTCAAGATATTTTTGTAATACTCATTGTGGATATCATTAAATACTAGTAATTTACATGTTTATGGTATCACTTTATCCAGATATTTTTGTCTCTTCCAAGATAAGAAGGCTTTCTTGCGTACATGTCTGGCTTAAACTAAGTTAAAACTTTATCTTTACAACTGTGATGCAGTTGCTAAAGTTGATGTTTATCTTCTTATTTATTTATTTTGTCTCCTTTATAAATTCAAATGCAAAAATAAGCTTTTTTTAAGGATAACAATCCAATTGTTTTCACAAAATGATATGTTTAAAAACTTTATTTAGTAGTTAAGTTTATTTATAATTTCAAGAAATTTATGTTACATATATGTATCATTTGATTAGACATGTAATTCAAATGCAAATCAATTTTTTTTTAAAAAGTATTAAATTAAATAATATAAAAACTGAGTAGTGCTATTGTAGAGTAAAGACCCTCTCCGGCTGGAGAAGGTTTGGATATTGGACCATCAAATACGATTTACTTATCACGACTAACTCTTATTTAATATTTGTCTTTGGTGGAGTACGTGACCCTCCGCACTGAGATAGAGAGCATTCAAATACATTTTTATATCTTCCAACTCTCTTTGGCACTGAACTGAAGAGCATTCAAGGGAACTGGAGAGCATTCAAGTCCATTCTTATATCCTCAGGCAATTTGACATATTGAAAATGCTTAGACATATTGACTAGTTCTAGTTTATATTATTGAAAACCCGTTATTTATAAAATTAAGACAGGCTATATAAGTGAAATTCCGAAGAAAACTAGGATAAATCCAATTTTAGATTAATGAGGGCCATGAATAGAAAAAACAAAAAATAGAAGGGCCTCAAAAGTGCAAAAACACAAAAAAGAATAAAAAAAAACAAAGAAAATCCAGCAAAGCACGAGTCCTCCACGACGCAAAAGCAGGACGTTATCCAGTTACGGATAGAATAGTCATTTCCAAACAAAATTAAAAATAAATAAAAACCAACGAACGAACGCAATTTTCTAATTCCGTAATTAACCCTAAGTTCAAGCCCTTAGTTACCCCTCCTCCCTTTCTTTCTTCTTCCTAGAAATGCTCAAAACACATGCAGCCCCTTCTCCATCTCTATCTAAACGTCTCTCCTCCGTAAAAACTCATCGTCTCTCTCCGCGTGTTTATATACATATATATCTATTTATATAGATATATAGCGAGTCTGTTTGACTCGGTGATTGGAGAGGCCGAGTCAGGGGTGGTGGTGGAGAACCAGCCATGACTCGCCGGTGTTCTCATTGCAGCAACAACGGCCACAACACTCGAACTTGTCCGTCGAGAGGCGGTGGTGGTGGCGTGAAGCTGTTTGGGGTTAGACTCACCGATGGTTCGATCATCAAGAAGAGTGCGAGTATGGGGAACCTCTCTGCGCACTACCATTCGTCTTCATCCGCCGCCGCTTCACCCAATCCCAGCTCTCCTTCCTCCGACCCTCTCCGCGACCCGGTTCACGTGCCCGATGGATACCTATCCGACGATCCTGCTCACGCCACGTGTTCCTCCAATCGCCGTGCCGAACGCAAGAAAGGTGCTTTTAATTCGATTTATTAATCAGATCAATTATGTTTCTAACTCTTTGTTTATTGATAGTTTTATGAATTCAATTTGATAATTTATTTTTTTTATAATTGGGATATTCATTTAATTTTGATATATGGTTTGGATAAGGTTGGGATTTGGCTGAGGTAAATAATTTTATCTATTTTGGTTCGTCTCTTAAATTCGGATTTTCATTCACAATTTAAAAAGTATTTTTCATGTATAAGTTCAATATTTTCATGGAAATGCTGATATGCGGAAATGGTAATCATTAATGTATTATGAGTTCTGTTTATTTTTAATTTGCGTGAAATGAAATTAAATGAATGTGGTCGTGCTTTTTGGGTGGAGGACTTGCTTTTGTCACCGTTTGTTTTGGTCTTGACTTTTCTACCTTTGATTTTTTGTTCTTTAATTATTAGTATTGATTCTAGTAGGGGCTGTTTTTTTTTTTTTATTGTATTGATTCTATTATTTTCTGTCTTTATTAGCTGATGTTGATATTTTGCAACACATGGATATATATATATATATATATATATATATATATTATTCATTCCATTGTGAATCTTTCCGTCAATTTATTATTATTTATTTTTTTCCGATGGATTTATATTGTCAATATTACTAATTTCGTTGTTGTTGTTATTCTCATTTTATGGATTAATTCTATTAAATGATCATTAATGTTAAATTTTTGGGTTTGTCATCTTCAGTTTGATTTCTTTGTTTGGCTCAACTGACTCATTTTTGTTAATAAATATAGTTTCCTTATGTATTGCACATTTCATCTGCTTAAAATTATGCTTCTATGCTTGTTGCCTACAGGGAAAGCTTTTCCAATACTATTTTCTTTTAGGTTCCCTAACTTCGTTGTCCAATTTAAACTTCTTCTAGCAGTATGTGAAATGGGCATTTACTTTTTTAATTGTTTTCGTGATATTTTGTTTTCATGGATGAATACAAAAACACACTTCTGTTTACATGATATCAAATTGCTGCTGTGCAAAGATAATAGCGTTAGAGGCTATACATGTTTTTTTGACAGTATGATGCTGTGATAGATACTCCGGAAAACTTAAGGGAGTTTGGTTAAACTTCTAAATGTTAATTCCTTTTTAGACCTTAAGGGAGTTTGGTTAAACTTCTAAATTTTAATTCCTTTTTAGACATGTCAATAATGTTGCAGAACATCTGTTAAGGTAATTGTGTAAGAACTCTCCTTCCTATATTACTTTGTTCAAGGATCACTCTTGTGTTTTTGATGTTTTCTCATCTATACTTTTTAATATGTCAAATCAGTTGTAGAAGAAATCTGGAATACTTTAAAGATATGGTCCACTGTATAAAATTGCCAAGAAATTTGGACTTTAGGATCCTATGAGTATTGTGGAAATCCTGTAAAACCTTAATAACAAGTCAGGTTATCATGATATAGCAAATTGGTTTATTCGTTTCGTAAAGACTACTATTTCTGTAACTTTTCACTTGCCTTAAAATATTGAATATTCTACATAACATTATTTCCTCACAGTCACTACTCTACATTCTCATAAATTCACAAGTTAAAGTACAGAACTCTCTCTTTCCCCTCTTCATATTCCTTTAAACCAAATGGACTCATCTCTCTTTCTTCGTCTTCCTCTTTAAATCTGTTGCAAATATTAGTGACATTCTGCCATTCTGGTCAATGCTTTCCTGATAACACCTCCCCACACTCTTTCATTTGTTCTTAAACAGAACATTTCTCCTCCATTTGTTCTCAAACAGAACATGCTTTCTGCCTTAATGGATATAACTTATAAGTGGAAAGTCCAGATTACTAAAGCCAGCTTTACCACAGAGCAAAGCCACTTGACCCAAATTTATGGAACTAGGAAGGGGAGGCCTTAGGATTCAATATTGAATATACTCAAGTGTTGTGATCACACTTGTCAGTGAGATCCTATTTTCCTATTCCTTTTTTTGTCCTCCGCCATGTTGATCCTCTTAACACATCCAAAGTGCTCTTCGGATTTATTTTTCTAACGTATTGCATTTGGGGCTACTTTGGAGCGGATACCTAGGCTCAAATTTAATTGTCTCAACTCAACTTAACAAAAGTTTTTCCCCAAATATTTTGTGTCAGCTACGTCTACATGAATCTTATTTCGTCATTCCACTCAATTTGAACAAAAAAAAAAAGAGTTAAAGATAAAAAGAAGATTTCCAAATTTATTTATGGTTCATTCTTAACAGAGACATATTGGAGAGCTGATAGAGTAGAGGCAGATTTTGTGGGTCATGGAAACTTTAGAAAGTTTTTGTGTGTGTGTGCGTGTGTCCCGGCAATTAACTCCCACATGCAGTTGGGGAGAGTCGAACCCTCTATCTTTCACATAAACTTAACCACATAAACTTAGGTATGAATAAGCAAAATAAAGTCCCTCCAATTTGCTAAATACTCGAAAAAATTCTTATGGAATTGTCAATTTATCTAGAAATGCTACTTAGTAGTATTATGAGGAGATGGCGCCCCATTTTTGTGTGACTGAATTTGTATGACATGCCCCATTTTTGGTGTCAACGGATCTGTATTTGGAAATTCAGTTCTAAGGAATTTGTGAATATGATTTTGTTGTTTTTCCGATACACATACAAATATGCTTCCAAGTTTCCAACACGATCCTTTGGTCAGATTAAGGTGTTGGCATTATAAATTCCCCATCTAAATCTCATCTTGTGGCTATAACTGTCACCACATGGCATTAAAACATCACATGGACCAAATCCACAAGTGTTTCCTTCAAGAAGGCGAGGCTCAGGCTTGAAAGATCCTTGTGCGGGGTGAAGGAACAAGTCCAGACCCCTTTCATGATCCTTGGTGCTAGTGCCTGATTGGGTTTGAGTAGGTTTCAGGGGACCTAGGTTGAGAGCTTGTTGGAACCATGAGATAACCACGCGGAGATGGCTTAGGGAAATTTGGAGGTGTTGATTGGTGGCTGGAATGTGTGTAGAGTTCAAGGACTTATTAATTAGTCTCACCCAGGAGTGACAAGTTGCAGAATTTGTCTAGACCGGACCAGGAAACAACATAAGCAGACATTATACCTTTGATAGACACAAGTATTGCTTCATAAAATTAATGACGGGTTGCATTTTCCTAATTAGCCTGGTCCAATACTCCAATCCTGCAGGCCAGTGTTTTAGGCTTCTAGTTGCTGCAGGGCCGGTGGGAGCATGGGCCCAGGAGGGGCAGCTGCCCTCCCTGAGACCATACTGGTCCATTAGTTTTTATTTAGTTTTAGTCATATAATTAGTAAAAGTTTATGTGCAGTAACCTTCTTTTTCTCTTCTTATTTATTTTTTATTCACTTATTCTTTAAATTTATTACTGAAATTTATACACTTGGGGCATATTTGACAATCATTTTTTGTTTTGTTTTCATTGGCAAATTGGTGAAAAAGATAAACAAATTACGAAAACACAATAATGCACTGTTACTACATTATTATTTTTCTGCTTGTTGCACTGTTAGCGTAAATGGCCTATGGCCCCGAGCCTTCCTGTTTGGATTTTTTTTTTAGTCATGCTTACTATGCCACCCGCGACCACACACACACGAACCAAATTCCTGGCTCCGCCTCTGCTAGTAGGCAGTTTCATCTGTTTTGTGAATGGTGATTGATACTAGACTGGGCTTCTAGGTTTGTTGTCATCTTCATTTCACCTGATTTAAAGGTCAGGCTGCCCTGAGTTTTGGGCAAAACATTCAGTTGAGCTGAGACCAATTTGAGCCTCTGGGCATGACCCAGTGCTAGAAGCTCTCTATTCCTATCAGACCTGCCAACACTCTGATCTAGCCCATTGTGCTTCCATTTCTACATGTCTAAGCTCCTATATTCGAGAATCATCATTATAAACAGAAGTCAACTGTTTGTAGAAATTATTTGTGGCCACATGTGCTGCATTGCATAGCTATTGCCATCAAGCATGTCTTTCCAAGTCTTGTATGATGATGGATCTTTGTTTTCCTTTTAAGGAATGCATGTAAGCAAGGATCCTTTATTGTCCTTCACCAGTGAACTACTTGGGGCTTGACATAATTAACTTATCTCTCAGTAGCTTTTTGGGGGTAACTTCTCGACATTTGTCCTTTTAAAATCATAAAAAGGAGATTTAAGGTACTCATTTCATCATTTCATTCATTGTAATCCGCTGGTTGTATTTTTATTTTACACGAGAATCTTATTTATTGATTTTGTAAAAACACTTGCTGATATAAGCTCTGATAAATGTTTTTAAGAAATTAAATGGTATGAGCGGCAGGTAAAAACCCTTCCTATCAATAATAATCATAAAAATCTCCATTTTTATTTACTGGGTTTGGTCTGGCAGGTACTCCTTGGACAGAAGAGGAGCATCGTTTGTTCCTACTTGGACTCCAGAAGTTAGGGAAAGGAGACTGGCGCGGGATATCACGCAGTTATGTTATATCAAGGACTCCTACACAGGTAGCAAGCCATGCCCAAAAGTATTTTATCCGGCAGAGTAATGCTACTCGAAGAAAGAGAAGATCCAGCCTTTTTGACATGGTTCCAGAGATGGTTTGTTTTGCTTCTTTGTATTAAATTTTGCATGAGCCACACTTGGGTGCACTAGAGCGCACACATATGTGAAAACACTTTTGGCTCCAATCCAGTGTGCCTTTCAGGTTTCTCAGGTCATCATTCACATCACATTAACATCGTGTGAAAGATTAAAGCTTTAATAACCTGTAAGCAGAGTGAATCCTTTATAAAATTCCCCATCTGTTTTACACGGATTGAGATTGTCTGGAAAAACATTACAGCCAATGGATTGACTGTAATTGTGATCTTAGATCATCATATGATGAAATCGGTTTCACATAGCTGATCCACAAAATGGTTGTGACAAGGCTTAGTTTTCTACTATACATATTTCACACACACATGTAAATCAGACCAGTAAAAGTTTTTCATCTTGGACATTAGCATATATATTGTAAACCCTTCTTCTTTCATTCATTTTATTGTTTTTGTTCTTATGTTACATGTTTGTCAGGCCACGGATCCACCATCAGTGCCAGAAGAACAATTCATGCTTCCTCCTCCTCAAGCAGTGGAAGCTGATAATCAGAACACACTGCCTTCTTTAAGCCTCTCTCTCAAACCTGAATTTGAACCCGTGGAAGCTAATTCCCTTGAAATGGTTGAAGAAGCCAAAGAAACCGGTACGCCATCAAGTGAAATCCCGCCAGTGGTTCCTGCATTCTTCCCAGCTTTTCTACCCATGTCACTTTCATTGTGGCCATCAAATGCAGCCCCTGCTGAAGAAGAGAGAGGTGTAGAAACATCTCACCATCAGGTCTTGAAGCCAATTCCGATCCTTCCGAAAGAACCTGTGAATGTAGATGAATTAGTGGGTATGTCCCAGCTCAGTCTGGGAGAGACTAAAACTGGCCTCATAGAGCCTTCACCGCTCTCCTTAAAACTACTAGGAGAACCATCGAGGCAGTCAGCGTTCCATGCAAGCACCCCCGGGAACGGGTCAGATATAGGCAAGGGCAAGACTAATGCTATCCAGGCACTTTAAATGGGGGATAAGCGACTTCTGTTTAGGTTTCTTCTCTTTCTTAGCAAATCTCTTGTACAATTGTATTCTGCTTTCAGAAGGGTACGTTAATCTTATCTCCTCAGTATCATGTAATTTTGTGATTCTCAGCAACCAGTTTAGATTAAATTTATTGAAAATATTTATTCTTTCTAATGGTAAACAACCAAAAGTCAAAACAATTGGACTGATTTGGCAACAAACTCCAGCCTTTTTGAGCTTGAACTCTAAATTTTGTAGCTGTGATGGCATCTAATGCCCAAACTTTAGAAATCATGGCAACAACTGTAGCACCCCATACTGATGAGCAATGAGGATTTGTGCAAAGTGCAATAATTTTGGATCTTCTTCGTTTAGAGAACGAAATCATTAAACGATTCGAAAACTGTTTTCTTAGAAGACATTTGTTTTTTTATTTTTTTATTTTTTTATTTTATCAATGTTCAATCCCTAATATAATGATGCTGCATTTTCGATTTAAAAATGTTCCATTAAGAATGTAATGATGTTATCTACTTCAGCTCTATATATATTTATCAGTTTGATACAGTTTTAACGTAGTTACTTTAATTTCACCACCATAAACTTTCCCAATTAAGTTTCACCATTTTAAAATTTTAATGATAAAATTTTCTATTTTTATAGGCCAGTAAAAATAAGTAAATATTTACCATTATAGCAGTAAAAATTGTTATTAAAAAGTGAAAGGGAATTAGAGAAAGGTTACAAGCTAGAGAGGATTTTAATTATAATTTAACATGCACACTCATGGAAAAAATGGATTGTCAAAAAAAAAAAAAAAAAAAATAGTAATAGTAATGGTTACACATTCTCTTGATTTCTTTCTTTCCTTTCAATCCTACTCATTTAAAAAAAAAAAAAAATTATGTTTTAATTTTTTTTTTCCCAAAAGTTTTTCTTATGGAAAAAAAAGATGATTTTTATATTTACCAAAACCAAAAAAGAAAATATAAAACACTATCCTAGCTCCCCGCGGGCCGCCCTCTCTCTCTCTCTCTCTCTCTCTCTATGTATATATATATTTACATGTAACTCCCACCCTGCAATACAGCTTATACTGTCAATTTTTTGGTGGATTACTGCGTAAAGCAAACAAATCTAAAGCCGGAAAACAGTGTTCTGTAACTACAAATTGCCTCTGCGATCGCTCTCCAGCTAGCTTTTCCGGCCAGTTTCTCTCTCTACATCACAGGCCCACACATACGCATACTCTCTCTCTATATATATTGATTGACGTACAGCTTCTTCCGGGTAATACTTATAAGGTTTGATTCTTTACGAGTTTTCTCTGAGCTAGAATGTGCAGGAGAGTTGATCTCGAATCTATTGAATTGTCTATCGCGTAGGGATTGATTTGTTCCATAGAAAAATTGAGAATTGCAATTGAATTTTCTTTTCCTAGGGTTTCAAATCCATTCTACCTGAAGGCCAAGGGAATTGAGATCTGGGTTTTAAATTTGCTTTCTGTTACCGTTCGAATCTTAATTTTTCTTGTCAGGAACCAATAATTGTTACCTCAATTCTCTCTCTCCCTCTCCCTTAGGTTTTTTTTTTGGTTCATTTAATTGGAATATTTAGTTACTGGGAATTCATTAGTCTATCTCCTAGGTTTTCCAAATTCTAACAGAAGTCAATCTATCAATTCTATCTTCTCTAGGATTTTCAGTCTGTTATATATCTCGGAAACAAAAGTTGTAAATTCAAATTTTACCTTCGAGGATTTCCATTAGAACATCGAGACTTTTCCTATCAATTATCTCTCTCCTGGGCTGAGCAAGAATTTGCCATGGCGTCGTACAGGCCATTACCTCCACCTCAGCAGTCAACTTTTGGTCAGCCGCCGAATCCGAACCCTCTTCCACCACCACCACCCCTGCCACAACAGCAGGCAAATCAGTACTCTCAGAATTGGGGATATAGTGGTGGTGGCGATGGGTCTTCATTTTCTCATAATTACAATCAAACGCATCCAAATTCTAGTTTTCAACATGGAGGTTATGGAACATCGGCGTCACAACATTATGGTCCTGCTTCTGGAAATCATCTTCCTCCTCCACATCCTCCTCCTCTTCATCAACAACAGCAACAACAGCAACAACCATATTCATATCCACCACCACCACCGCCTCCACAAGAGTCTTCATACCCACCTCCACCACCGCCACCGCCTTCAATGCCTGAGAATTCAATGAGCTTACAGCCGCAGCCCGCTTCAGCTCCAATGTACTATCCTTCTTCTCAGTACTCCCAATTCAATCATCAGTTGCAGCCATTGCCACCACCGCCTCCACCACCGCCTCATTCACCGCCCCCCAGTTCTTCAATTCCTCCACCCCCTCCATCTCCACCACCACCTCCTTCATCAGTTCCAGCAGTTGGCCAAAGTAAGGAAAGTAGACCAGATGGTGAGAAACGGGTGTCCAAGGATGTAATGGGTTCCAGGTGGCGAGACCCAGGGCATTCAAATCAAGGGGCTCCCCATAAACAACATAAGCCTCCTGTTCCCTTGGTGCCAGCAAAGAAATCAAATGGGCCGTCAGGGAGGATTGAGACAGAGGAAGAGAGGAGGTTGCGAAAGAAGAGGGAGTTGGACAAACAAAGGCAAGAAGAGAAGCATAGGCAACAGCTAAAGGAGTCCCAGAATACAGTGCTGCAAAAGACCCAAATGATATCTTCTGGAATGAAGGGGCACGTGTCAATTAGTGGGTCAACCATGGGTGAGCGGAGGACTACTACACTTCTGAGCGGTGAGAGGATTGAGAACCGGTTGAAGAAGCCGACCACATTTCTTTGCAAGTTGAAGTGAGTATGTTGTTACACGAAATTTGGATTTTACTTATATCATTTGTTTGATTTTTTTTTTTTTGTCTGGGTGTATGATCTGTCGCCTCTTTAATAACAAATTTTTAGCAATTTTGGGCATTCAATATTGAATTGAAGATTGGGTTTGTCAAGCATTACGTTTGGCTAAAGTTTATACTGGTTTAACATGTGCTGAGGTACGAAGTTGTAAGGATTATACTACATTGCATTCTTGTTGTGCTGTAAGAAATGGCTGTTCCTGTCAAATATGGTGTTGGCACGCTGAGTAATATTTTTCTGTCCTGTGCTGACTGCCTTAGAGTTATTGGGAAAGGATAACACTACTGATTTGGGTTTTAGGATGATGTTCCAAAATACAATGAAGAAAAATAAGAGGGGAAAAAAAAAATAGAAGCTACAAGGAAAGAAAAAGTCTTGAAACATAATAAGATAGTTTTTAGGTAAAGATTTAAGAAAAAGCTGTGGCACATGAATATATTAGTTTACATAGATTACAATAAGTTCTTCGTGTCATATAATTCCAATATTACAAAAATGCACATAGAGAAGTGCTGCAATTCAAAATATCATGTTTTTTTGTACATATGCTTGTTAAAGAAATGCATTTTTGCATTTAGTAATACCTTAACAGTTAATAGATTCTAAGTTTCTGACTGATATATATAACATCTTCTATCATATTACATGTTACAGTATGTGGCGTATTGTTTGATTCCACGAACTGATACAATCTTTGTTATGGGTAAACAATGTTTTGCCGCCTAAAATACCATTTTGGGAGGGAAATGCATTTTCAATGTGGACCACTGCTTCACTTTGGATTTCCCATGCATTCTTTCTGTAAACAATACTCCCTCCATCTCCATTTAACTGCCCCCGTTTCATATTATGTTGTCCCAATTTAATTATCCATTTGAAAAGTCAAATTGAGATGATTGCATCTTTCCAAAATTTAACATTCTTATATATATATATATATATATATATATATATATATATATATGTGCGAATGTTAAAAATTTAACATATGTATTGACTTCTTTGTTTTTCATTAAAATTGTGTGCTAACTGCTTTGTGAGTGTGCCCTTGTGCCCAAGCAATTAATATTTTGGTAGCTTGCATGTCAAATTCTTACAACTGTATTATTCTTCCTTTATTATCTATACTAATGTTCTGTTCTTGTCTGCTTTTTGAAGATTCCGGAATGAACTACCAGATCCAACAGCACAACCAAAGCTTTTATCTCTGAGGAGAGAGAAAGATAGGTATGCAATCTACTATGAAAATCATTTGCTAAACTCTGGGTGCTCAACTTTGAAACATTATGCATACACGCTTGCAATCTTCTGCCCACTTACTTGAACACACATGAGATGCATACATGCATCTGTCCTTCCATGACGAGAGGTGTATATGAATGAGTTCACGTGCTCATTGGTTCATTCATACTTAACAGTTAGAAAAAGAATTAATTATATTAATATTCATCTCCTTTCATTGGATAACTCTTTCACAGTGTTTTTAGCTGCAAACAACTTTCATTACAGTAAATAGAATTTATATTAGAAAATTATAATAAACAAATTGTAAAATTCTATTGATATTGAGAGGAGTTTCATGCGCTATAGATCTAATTATTGAATGTAAGGGGGGAAAAGATCTTGTTTGCATCCAAAAATATATAAAGCATAAATTGGTTTGAAGTGATTTTCTCATTTTGTGGTTTTGGTCACATTCAATATATGTCTAATGCAAGTTGTTTCAAGCAATTTTGGATATCTTTCAGAACTTGTGACGCATTGCAGACAAGTGGTAGTTATGGGTAGTCAGTCAAAAGGCACTCGGCAAAACTTGTATCTTCATTTGATTTTTAGAACACAGGATTGTTTCTGCTTGTATCTTCATTTAAGCAAGTAATAATGTAATATAGGCCTTGTTCATTTCTTGAACAATATTAATATAAGCCGTGTTCATTTCTTGAATATTTATGTATACGCTTTATTTCCTTAAACATCACTCGGTGAAACTTGTAGTCCTCTTTATTGTCAGTAGAATATTCTTCTCACTGTTGTTTGACCAACAACAACCACCAAGCCTTTTTCCCATCTACTTTACTGTTGCTTGACGAATTTTCGATAATGATTTTGGTCAACCTAAGGTAATTTTGTTTGGTCACCACATTGAATCAGGTGGACTTCGTCATTGTTAGAGTTGTCAAAGTATATTTTGATTGCAAAGCTGATTGATCACATGGCAATTGAATTTTCACCACCTCACTGGACCAGTGAGGTTCATCAAATATTGATATTTATAGGTGGCTTATAAGACAACAAAACCATGACATAATTCCATGCATGGCGTGATATCAGATTTGAGAGCTATAATTGGCGCTTGAGAGAGCAGAATTCAGTTTGAATATGTAGGACCACGTTTCAATAGTGGCTGATTGATAGGTCCTTTTTAATTAACAGTTGGTGTGTTGACCATTATATTAGATAGGTTTTAAAGTTAGTGGAAGATGAATAGATGCTTTGTTAACTAGTGATCAGTTTATTGGCCGAATTTAGTTAGGTAATTTTGGGTATGAAAATGTTTTGGCTGATATCGTTTTAATTAATTTGTGGTTGATGAGTGGAACCTTCAATATTAGTGGATGATGCATGGATTCAATTTTAATCAGTAGACCAAATTTCAGCCACTTCTAAAATTAGCAATTGGCGAATAGATTGAGTATTGGTCACTTCTAAAATTAATTATTGATGACTGATTGAATTTGAATTGATGTTTGGTCACTTTTTAACCATTCCACCAGCAGCACCTTTTGTACACTTGCACATCCGCATCTTCCTTCATCACATCAACTTGCCACCACAATTACACCTGTATGACCTTCACTTTGATTTTCCTTTTCAACCAATTCCTGCCACTACAGGGATCATCAGGCGGTGAAGCGAAAGCTTCTTCAAAGTTACTAAGGTCCTTTTGGGCAAAGAAACACTCTTTGTTTTCCATGGTCTATTCTTGTTTGAGCTTGATGGTTTGTGAAGGAATCTAATGCAGAGTTCCCTAGCTTAGAATTAACATGTCTTGTATGTGGTAGTAAGTAATGGCTATCATCAAAGCTAGCCATAAGATATTGTTTGAGTGCTGCAGTTGTTTGTCCCCACCTCAAATCGTACACTTGCCAAGTGACTTAATAGTCCCTAGTTTGATTCTTTGCTTTACATTCGCATATAAGATCAACTAATTGAATATGGTACCGGATAATCTACTTGAGCATGCAATAGCTTGGAACTACAATTTTTGTCCCAAAAGCTACAGAATACAACATTTTCATTGTTTGTTGTTTTGATATTTTCAACTTTCAGATTTTGCTTCCATTTCTAGATTTTGCTGCAACACCATTGATTTTTTTTTTTTTTGCAGATTCACAAAATATTCAATTACATCATTGGAGAAAATGCACAAGCCTCAACTATATGTTGAGCCTGATCTTGGGATACCGCTTGACCTACTTGATCTCGGTGTATACAAGTATTACTTCTTGATAGCCTGCTTTTAGTTACCGAGGCAGTTTTTTATTTAACTATTATTATTTTTTTATATGTCTGTGTCTGCATGTGTGTTGCTTTGGGTATATCTTTTTTCAGCAACACAACTCTGATTATCATTTGTGCCACCTACTAGTCCACCCAAGGGCAAAAGGTTGCCCCTTGATCCAGAAGATGAGGAATTGTTGCAAGATGATAATCCAGTAACCCCTATAAAAAGAGATGGCATAAAAAGAAAAGAGCGTCCTACTGATAAAGGTGTTTCTTGGCTAGTTAAAACACAGTATATCTCTTCTCTTAGCACAGAAGCAACAAAGCAGGTAATTGAGAACTATGAGAAGCTTGCCCTTTTGAAAAATTATTTTGGAAGTTATATCATTAATAATTACAATGCCGTTTGCAGTCACTGACTGAAAAACAAGCCAAGGAACTTCGGGAAACAAAAGGTGGCCGCAACATATTGGATAACTTCAATAGTAGGTCTGTTATACTCCCCCTGTTATGTGAAGAGAATGTAAGACAAGATATACACGCATTACATTTATCCTTTTAGTAAGTAAACATGTGTTGTTTATTCTAAATCTTCAGGGAAAGGAAAATCCAGCAAATTGAGGCTACATTTGAGGCATGCAAGTCGCGACCTGTTCATGCAACCAATACTAAACTACAGCCTGTTGAGATTCTTCCGTTACTACCTGATTTTGACCGGTATAGACCTTCTGATGAGTATTTGTTTATCTTTGTTTGTTCATAATAGGGTAAAAATATCATCAGCCAGATGGATAACGTAACTCTAAAAGAACCTCAAACTCAACTACTATCCATCTTAAAATCTGGTCCAATAATTTATACTATCTATTTTATTTTCCCAAATGAAACTTCTATGTAGAGATAATGCCACCATATTTAGGTATGCTTTTATCATTACATAAAAGCATTGTATGCAAACCAAAGTTGTCCGGTGAGGTTGAGGGTCTCTAAATTTTGAGAAAAAAAGAGAGAGGGGGGTATAGTATATCTGTGCTCTTATTTTATTTTATTTTTTTCCATATATAGTAATCATACAACTAAATGGGTGATTTTATGTTTCCATCTTTGCTTCACATATTGTTTCTCGAATGATGAATTATAAAGACATTTAACAGAGAAATAGCTAATGGTGAATGCAATTGATTTATTTGTGGAGAATTATAATTATGTTGCATCATGTCATTTACTTATAGACCTTGACCTGATTTGTATATGCTGCTGTCATGCCAGGTATGATGACCAATTCGTCATTGCAGCATTTGATAATGCTCCTACTGCTGATTCAGAAACCTACAGCAAATTGGACAGATCTGTTTGTGAAGCCCATGAATCGCAGGTAAAAATATATATGAGGTGTTGCATAGATATGGAGTAATAGTCCAATAGCGTGTTCATGTGTTAGGTCGCAGATGAGGGTATAAAACTCGCTGTTGAGGGCATAAAACCCAACTGATCCACCATTTGTTGCTGTACTTCGTTACAAGTAAAGGATGTTGTAGTGGTCTAGAGGTTTGAAAAATGAGAGAGAAAATTAAGTAGTGCAGGGCAGATATGTTGCCACTTTCTTTAGAACTTGTAGTATAGGGTGATGGCATTTTCACAAATGCTTTTCTGCTTTTTGTTGCTGGATTTATTTCTGCAGACAAGTTTACTTTCTTTGTTTGGTATTTAAGAGTAGACCCTCACAGTGGTGTGATAAACACATTGCTACTGTTCTTGTAGTGTCAGAAATTAGGTATCAGTGATAGTCAAATTGTTTTTAAAATTTGGAAATTGACTTCCTTGTTTATTTTTGTGATGCCAGTAATAGGCTGGAAAAAACAGCCTTTCCCCCTAAAGTTTATGCAGACTTTTTGATATAACATGCAGTAGCAATAATTGATATAACATGCAGTAGCAATAACACAATCACAATCATATGCAGCCTTCCTTGATAGTATCATTCAATTTTCCAATAAATATGAAGCCTTGGCGGAAAAAGTGGGGAAAATAAGAATGAAGAACTTAAAATGGGAAAGTACATTTATTTTGGATGTTTGAAAGTGGTTATAACCTTTACTCGAGTCTTTGAATTCTATTCTTGTAGCTTGCTTTTTCTGACACCTTACTCTTTTATCAGTTCCAAAATCTGCCTCTGGTCTTATGCAACATAGAAGTGGGTTATTGTTTGTTTCTGAGCATATAAACAATGAATATTTTCTTGACTAATTGATTGTATTGACTAGTTAACTATTTGTTGAATAACTGTAATCTAGTAGTCATTGTTCACTTATTATAATTTAAGGAATGAATGTTCCTTGATTTAGTAGTGATTTTTCTTCCTTTGTTTATCAGAAAACTTTTTAGTCTTTAATTCTTTATTCGTTCCTTCTACTATTCAATTTTTAAGAATTACGTTTTGACTGAGATTTTATGGGTTTTGCCAGCACAATTGTGCTTTACTCGAGCAGTGGCGGAGCCACAGAGGGGTGAGTGGAGGCAATTGCCCCCACTCAACTTTTGCTGTATTGTACTTTTGTATATATTAAGTTTTGAAAATTTGTAAAAGTGCCCCAACTACAAGATTAAAAAAAAAAAATGAAAAGAAAATATTTAGTCTTGATCGTTTAACCCTCTCTTTTATGCTTAGGAAAAAAGAAAAAAAAAAAAAAAACCTCTTTTATTAATCAGCATGAGTGGCCCAATGGTAAGGGGTTAACTAACCCAGGGCCAGGGACGCACCTATGTACAGATCTGCCCCCCTGAATTTTTTTTTTAATTACTAATATGCCTTATTAAATTGTTCTTTTGCAGTTATATACCCCTAAAATATTACTATTGCCCCCCCTGAAATTACTAAAAAATATCATTCTTGCCCCACCTCACTTAATGGTATGGGTCTGTCCCTGCCCAGGGCAATCGAATATCCTATATTTGACTCTCACGGTGCAAAAAACCTGTATGTAACCTTGTGTGTTTATGGGTGATAGCACATATTCAGGTTGGAAATCTTTTTTCTTTTTTTCTTTTTTTTTTTTTTTTGGGGGGGGGGGGGGGGGGGGGTGGTTTTAGTCTCTGTTATTAGCTGTCATACACACTCTTTGCACAACTTTTTTTTTTTTTTTTTGTCACAACTCACATCTAGTTCATCTCCTTCACTTTAGTAATCAATTTTATTTCTTTTGCCCTCTCAATGTTTCTAAACGATAAGAGAATCATAAAAGTCTCTTCTACTTTATTTATTGACCCTAAGCCAGTAAGCAAACCTTCCTTTCTTCACACAATCTCACTCTTTATGAATAAAAAAATCATTTTTGATTGCAAAATAAAAGGATATGATTTTGCTAACATCATTGGATTGGTATTCTTCATAAATTATATTTTCAAATAATCAAAATTATGATAAAGTCTTGCAATTTATTAGACTTATATTATATGTCGAAACAAATTATCATGCAACTTTCAAAACTTGAAAAATGGTCGAGGACAATCATCAATGTATTAAATAAAAATAGTATCAATCAGTATTTAATTTTCCGTATTTGTTATTTTGGTAAAAAAAAAAATATATATTGATAGTGTTCAATGTTGCCCCCACTAAACTAGATTTCTGGCTCAGCAACCATACTCGAGGTCTTCAATTTTATTCATCAATTGTTCCAAGATCTAGCTTGCTTTGTCACTGGTAAATTTTTTATTTGTTATTTAAAAAAAAAAAATTCCCTTCCCTTGTACAAAGAGTTTTCAATCTGTGTGCAGTTTTAAGAATCCAATACATATTTTTGACAGATATACTTGTACCGCCTGGCAATACAATTTTTTGTCGAACTTATACTTCATTTTCCAACACAGGCCATTATGAAAAGTTTTGTGGCGACGGGCTCGGACTCCGCTAAGCCAGAGAAATTTTTGGCATACATGGCTCCTTCACCTGAAGAGGTAGAGTCGACTTTAAATCAAAATGCAAAAATATATTTTGAAGCTGTTTTATCGCTTTTATTTTCACTGAACTGACACTGATCGGGTTATTATGTCAATAACTTATTTAATTTATGATGCTGGCAGCTATCAAAAGACATGTATGATGAACATGAAGATATCTCATATTCATGGATCCGAGAATACCATTGGGATGTATGTACCGAAACTGGTTTTTGGAACATTTAAGTCGCAAGAGAGTTTTATTATAACTTTTACTGTAAAATTTGCCTTTCAATTCATCAACAGGTGCGGGGTGAGGATGCGGATGACCCCACAACGTACCTTGTGGCATTTGGTGAATCAGAGGCACGCTATGTGGTATGTACTTTGAACTAGTTTCTGTAGTTCTTTTTTTATTGTGCTTGCATGTATGCATTTTGTGTAGGTGAATCAGTTGTCTTCTACTAACTTCAACTTTGATGCAGCCCCTTCCAACAAAGCTCATTTTAAGGAAAAAGAGGGCTGCAGAAGGAAAATCCGGTGATGAAATTGAACATTTTCCGGTACCTTCAAGTGTGACCGTAAGACGGAGATCAACTGTTGCGGCAGTAGAACTAAAAGAATCAGGGGTATGACATGGAAGCATTGTTAGAATTTTTTTTCTTCTTGTACATTGGATTTTGATAACAGACTGCTTTTAGGGTTCCATTCTGTTTTATTCCATAAATGATCCAGTATAGCCCTTCTACACTTCTAAACTTCTGAATTTTTGGTCTTTGCAGAGTTATTCAGGCTCAAAGCGGGGTATGTTGAGTTCAAAGAGAAGACGGGTAGACACTGAAGATGGCCACGGGAGACGCCAAAAGGTTGTTGAAGACCAAGACATGGATCAATCTAGTGGAGCCGAATATGACTTGTCCGATTGATTGCCATTTCTGTAATTGTTGAATATATAGGATGATATGAGTTAAGGATGGAAATGTTAAATTTATAGGAATACTATTTTTTGTAGTTTGGACGTATAGAAATCCTGTTTTGCAGCCTTGATACGGAGGAATTGTATTTTGTTTCTAGTAATTTTTTTCTATTTTTCCTTTTTGTCATTTTGGAATTCGGTTGTTTTCCCAGCAATGTTATCTTCTTGTCTGTATTTCTTATTCCACCAGTAGATTACAATTGTTTCAATAAAATTAGTCCTGAAAATCTGGCAATGCATATACCTTAGATTTGCACCAGTGCACACAGTGAATTCGTTTATGTCGATGGCGCTAGGAGATCCCTTTTTTGCAAACCTTAACCATTCGGTAGCCTCTCTTTGTTCTCGCAGTTGGATGTATCACCTGGCTAAATGTTACATCTCATGATGTACCCGCACAGCCTTTATACACTTGGAACCTAGGAACTAGGAAGTACGGACACTTCTACGAAGGAGCCGTACCCGTGTCGGATGCTGACACTCGTCTGGTACGTGTCTACTCGTCTGATACGTATCTGACACTTCACATATGTGTCCATAAATAAAAATTAATTATACATATATGGACACGTTTTATAATTACCGAGAGAAAACAAAGGGTACTTTTATGCATATATTGTGTTTCCTTCAGGGTTTGTAGAATACATGATTTAGCTGGTGCCAATGGTAAAAGTATATATATCCACCATACTACCAAGCTTACACCAACTACTGCAATTCAAAAATTTGAAGTATACAACAACACTCTCTTACAGCTCTTAGATTTCAAAACTTGAACCAACTTCTACAATGCAAAATTTTAATCATACCAGCAATGACGTTTTAGCATCTCAAACCCTCGGGTACTGGACTAGTCTCGTCACAAGAAACCTCATCCAATCTGTCAAGAAATCCTTTCTGAGCAGTCTTTTGAAGAACAGAGACATTGAAACGAATCCCATTAGTAGATGCTGCTTCAAACTTTGTCCATAATTCCTTCTTTAAAGTATTTTCACCAGGAAACTTTCCAGTCCGGGTCGTACTTCCAGGCTCCTTCCACAAGGGAGTACTTTCAATACCGCCAAGTTCTGTGGATATAAAGAAAAAAAATTGAATATTTTCAGTTCAAATAGAGTTCAACATGTTAATTGAAAAAAAAAAAAACACATTGTACCTTGACTACAAGATTTCTTATTTGGAATATGGTTGCCTTGCATACAAGCAGCACTTGGCAACTGGCAATTGCTCACAGCATTGTTCAATGACTTCTCATCAGAAGGCTCCATTAAAACACAGGTCTTAAAAGGTGACATAAACCAATCTGGAAATTCTTCTACCACCTTCTTTCCATTTCCCAATTCGTGAGCTTGTTTTATTCCGAAGAGCTCTGGATACTTAAAACCCAGGTGCTTGGGAACTTGACTGCTGGAGGAGTCAGAACTTTGAGACCCACTAAAATTTTGAACTCCAACAGGAAATGGGGTTGATTTACAAACCCCATGGTTGTCTTTGTGAGAGATCTCAGAAATAGGTTCAAGAAGTACGCAAGACCTAGGTGGTGACATTTTCAGGCATGGAGTCATAACAAGCATAGAGCAGTCCCTCCTAGAAGTTTTAGGCGGAGAAACAAACCCACTCCCCTGAGTGCTGCTTTCCAATTTGGTAACAGCAGAATCAGAAAGTTCACTTGGAGTTGGTTTTATAGCTACATCTTCAAGCAAATCATCATTTGTATCTCCAGTGATGGCAAGAAGTGACGGTAACCCTCCATTACCCTTTAAAGTAATCTTTTCAAGTACCGATTTAGATGATTCCTGAAATTTGGATGAAAATTCTTTTGGTCTAGGTAAAGGTGTGAGCAGGAACAATTGTCTACCACTCTCAGTAGTACAGTCAGCACGCCAGGACACGAGAGGAGACGGAGAGACTAGTGAGTCCAACTTAGTTCGATCTGGGCTGTCAAGACCATCGCTTATATCCTCATTTACAGCAGGAACAGTCTTACAAGCCAAAGACTGTTCCAACTGATTCTCGGACACCATGGAAGGACTGGAAAGTGCTCTCTGAAGTCTGAGAATCCATGGCTGCATGCGTGAAACAATATATGATATTAGATATGCAACAAAATGACAGAGTGAGAGATCCTAACAGAATCAATTACAGCATCAACCTTTAAAGAAGTTTGCGTTTCAGACAAGTCTTTAGCTAGAGATTCAATTTCCTTCCTCCCCGTTTTGCTTGTCACTTTAATTTTAAGTGCTTGCACAACTAGTTCATCGATCTGCAGCTCAATAATTAATTCACACATGGTTTAGCTACATATTAAAGTAACAAGAGAGAGAGAGCAAAAATTAAATTTTCTTAACAACAAAGACTATTAACTATGCAAAATAACCATATATAAGTCCATCCCATAATTCCCATTTCAAAAGAAAGAAATAAAACAGCATATTGGCATATGAATTCTTTGCTGCTGCAGGAAAGTTAAGGCATTTCCATGCAAAGAAGAAATAACCAGTCTAAAGTCTGAAAATTTCATGTATAAATGCTGTTGCCCACTGTAGAACTCACAAATCAGAGAACAAGTTAAGAAAGATTCTAATTAATTACTCTCTTCAATGACATCAACAAATCGGCTGGCACATAAAAAATTATCTGAACAAAAATAGCATACCCAGGGCTGGGAGAAAGAAGGCTTGGTGTATAATCTGAAATTTAACCTACTGATGATGAGTGCATATTATTCCTTTCCTTTACAGCTTTGCAGTTACAAACACTGTTCCATAGTCATAACAGGTGTTTTCAAGTTCTTACCTTGCCAAAAAAAAAAAAAAAAAAAAAAAAATTTTTGCGAAGTCACTTGGATAATTTTTTCCTCAGCTACATAAAAAACAATCAACCAGTTTAGGCAATTGTTACAACTTCATGTAGAATTCATGTTTTCTTGATGTCAGCATGTTGAACATTGTCATTGCACCGGTATCCTTATATAACACATGACCTTATTGAACACCAATACACTTCCATCAATTTCTAACAGGCTAGCTACCTATTTGTGCATTTCACTTCTGGGCAGAGAAGCAAACAACACCCGTTTATTGTAATTCAATGCATATCTTTATCCTACTTATGCCCTTAGGCTTTCCAAATATAAGGACATGCTCCACAAAGCCAACAAATAACAGAAAAATAAAAAGAAGTTTAAACGACAATGCAAGAACTCCAGTAGATTACCCATTAACCACCAACTACGCCATAAGACTTAAGCTGCCAGAGAGGGTGTAACTTAATTTAGTTATGTATTGTAATATTACCCAGGATAGTCAACGAATAAATGGTAGCAATCCAGTTCTTTTGCAGTCATAACAAATAAGTATATTCCCTTCTGAATTTAAGCTACTGAGGCAGACACCCTGACACAACCGTAAGGTTGTTCCATTATATCTGGGTCACAAACAAGAAACAACATTTCCGCACGTGGAGTTAAGACTGCATATATCTAACCCTTCTCGGATTCTGCAGTGTCAGAAGGCTTGTGCACTATGCTAACCCTATTTTCTTTAAAGCTACTGATTTTACATACCGCATCTGTCACATTCAATCTCTCTCTTTATGCTGTCTTGCCAAGAAAAATCATTGAGAAAGTAAAAGAATCATATGTATGAACAAAGCAGAAACTGCTATTCATTCTAAACAGAGCACATAATCAACCCAAAAGACATGCCACGTTCATATATTGTTTTTTTTTTTTTGGGGTGCGCATACACTATTGGCATAGTCTATTTTGGAGTTATGGGAACACAAACATGACATTTTTATTTTTTATGTTTATACCTCAATTTTGAAAATGATCAATACTCCATCTAGAATAAGCAGAATCAACCTGAAACTAATCAAAGCCATAACTGAAGCTTAAAATGATTTGCAAGCAAAGAATGTAGGGGTTGTACGAATCAAATTTAGAAGACGTTAATCAGAATAAATAACTATAATAAACAGAAAAGTAACAACTAGGATAACGATGAATCACAAAGCAGCCGATAAATCACAGAACGAAAAACTACGCATAATTTAATTGAAGACAAACGAAGCTAATAGAAGCAAACCCTAAAAAAAAACACCTAGCGCTTTGATCTATCACACCACAGCACAAGGTTTTCCGAAAGGTTTCAGACAAAACTAGGGTTCCTCACTTCGGAATTGAACAAATTATCAGCAAAATACACATGTTTCTCTCTCTCTCTCTAGAACATACCTGATGAATGAGAGCGGACAGATCTGAGTGAACAAGGAGGAGGCTATCGAGCGCGTCATCTCCGACTCGATCTTCGTTTTCTGGATCTTTATTCTTCTTCACGGATTTGGAGGGTTTGACGCCATTGGAGGCGTCCTTTAATGGCTCCCTCGACGATTTGGGTATGGTGTTTTGGTTCTTGGGCATTTCTGAGTGAACAAGGAGGCGGCCATCGAGCGCGTCATCTCCGCCTCGATCTTCGTTTTCTGGATCTTTCTTCTTCTTCTTCACGGATTTGGAGGGTTTGACGCCATTGGAGACGTCCTTTAATGGCTTCCTCGACGATTTGGGTATGGTGTTTTGGTTCTTCGGCATTTTTGATCTCTTCCTTCACCAACGGTAACTACAACTCATAACGTCTCTCTCTGTCTTTCTGTATTTGAACTTCTCTTCAGAGGCGGGCTATTTTTATATTTTTAAAAATTATTTATTATTCGACTTCTTTATATGTCACACTATGATTTTCTAACATGTGGAATTTTCTAGAGAAATTCATGTAAACCACTGTTGGATGAGTTGTTTCACCAACTATGAAACGAATGAGTCACTTCTTGTGAGGGCAGGTCATTTGATTTTTTAGGTGAAAAAAAAAAGAAAAAAGAAAAAAGAAATAAAAAAAGAAAAAAGAATTGATTTTTAAAAAATGATTGGGGTAGTCAAATAGTTGCTCCGACGCTCTCCATTCCTTTGATTGTTAATATGGGACCTGGACATGATGAGTCCCAAATAGTATAATATATCATTGCTCTAAATTTTTTAAAATTACGATATTTAGGTTGATTAATTTGATCTATTTGTAAAAGTGATAATTAAGATCAAGATGATTCTCACCACAATCATAAATAAATTTTGACATATCATTGTTTATGGTAAATTTCAAAAACTAATTCAGAAATTGTCAATGAAATAGACTATTATTTTTTTTATCTGAATTAATACTAATAATAATTTTTTATTTTTTAAACTGGGCTAAATTTAGATATACCAAATTTATTTATTTGTTTATTGGGATTTCATTATGTCCATCGTCATGTTGTATAATGTATACTTCACTCACACACCCTGCCTCTAGGAGGCTTGAATTGTTGAGGTTCCTTTTTGAAGTGTGGATTTAGTGTGAGACTGTTATATATTATATAAATTAATTAATCGTTCGAAAAAAAAAAAAGAGATATTAACTTGGATCCATAAAAAAATTACTGTTAACTAGGATCTATTAATACATGGCCACCCAAATATTAGTAGGCTTAATAGTCATTGTAAATTTGTCATGATTGTTGGTTGGGACAGAACCTAAAATTTTTAGTTGGAGAGATTGAACTATTAGCGTAAAAATAAATTTAAAATTTATAAATTATAATGTATTTTTCTTTGCAATAAGTATCTTTGTATACATTTTTAGTGATATATCTTTTTTTTTGTTTTTAAATTAAAAGATAGATGATTTGGATTATTATCTAAGTGTAAGAGTTTCTTACCAAGAAAAAAAATATATATATATATAAAAGAAGGCTTTTGTTTTGCTACACAATTCACGAATTTTCAGAGTTCACAGTCTCTTGCTCTATGTTAGGTTTTTTTTTTTTTTTTAATAAATATTTTCGAGCTCATTATTCAAAGGAAGGCTAATTTATTTGAGTTTGTGGATACCAATATTTCAAGTCCACATGGCAAACGTCATATCATCAACAATGGCCTACATAGCTCGGTGAAATGGTCTACGAGTTACGCCACATCAGTAGCGATGGCCCACATAACATGGTCAACGGTTAAAGTTACCACGACATCAACATACTTTGAATAGAAGAACGATGACCTGAGTTGAGAGCAAGACTCAGGATTTCCTGGGATCTGAGGAGGTTTTGGTTTGGTGGCTGAAGTCCAGGGTTCGCCGAGTTGACACTCGGCCTGACTTGCAGAGAGAGAAATACCATCTTGACTCTCGAACATTTAACTCCATCTTATTTAACTCGTTACTTTATAATTATTTGAGAAATTAATCTCTTTTATGGGAAATTAATCTCTTTTAATTATTTTGTTAATGGACCTTGTGATGTCATTGATGACATCACCCACCTTCACTTGGCCTATAAAAGGAAATAACCTAAGGCCAAGAAAAGGGCAGACACAAGCAGGAAAATTCCTCTTAGATCGAGAGCTCTAAACTCTCTCTCTTAGATGGGTTGTCTTCACAACCCCTAAAAGATAGATCAAGGAGTCAATGGTGTTTTCTATATACACTGCCATCTCTTTCTCTCTTTTGTTTGCCTTTGTTTCCACCTCTCTCAATCCATCTCGGATTCCATCGTGTTGCAAGATTTACCTTACCATTTATTATTTTGTGATAATCTGGGACCTACCTGAAAATCAGGTGTCTACAGAGTTTTAAAATTTTCAGGGGACTAACCCTGTAACCCTTTTGTCTAGCATAGTCTATCTCTGTCCACGATCGTTGGTAGGCAGATTTTCGATTTTTAAGGGCCATAGACTGATAGTCCTGCCAATGAGTTTTGGCACGTAGATTTATTTTCACTCTTACCTCTATTTATTTATTTTTTCTTATTGCTTTGATACTTATGGAGAATTTCCAAATGCAAAAAGTAGGTATAACCAGCTAATTTGAAAAATTAGAGATTTTGATAATAGAAATACAACTAGTGAATGAAAACAAGGTTAAAGTATAAAGAAAGGAAAACAAATAACTACAGACAAAAATAAATTCAAAATAATAAGTAAACACATGAGAAAAGCAAGCAATATTTTGCTTCCAACAATGACAAACAACATTCTCCACTGACTATTGTAGTATAACGACACAATGAGCGAAGAGAATGTATTACATGGTTCGGCTTATATGATCTCGACAGGATCTATCATAATAAGTAAAAATTTAAATAAAGTTAATATATTTATTTACGTGTTATATTGGGATTAGTTGGGACCAAATAATTTTGAATGATGAAAAACTTTCAAGAGTGAGTGACCTGTACCTACTTTAAATTTTGAACATGATAAGGATTACTGTACTAGACAACTAAGAAAGTCCAAGATGGATTGGACTTGTAAGAAAATAGACTACTACTTACCTATTTTTTTTTTTCCACCTACGACTACTCTTCCTAATAAGTGTCCAATTCATGAATGGAGAAGGCAAGATTTTCTGACAGGATATTACTACCATCAATACAAAATTCATTTATTTGTTAGATAAATCATCAATTACTAATTTAACCATCAGAGTACATTTGGTTTGGAATCGTGCTGAATTTTGCATCATAATAAGACAAAAAAAAGTTACGATTTTTTTTTATTTTTTCGATTGCATATTTTAAATTTAAAAAGAATTGTCATTTATCATTGTGGAAGTAAGTACTAAACACAAGATTTATTTGAGGCAGTGGGGATGTTAATGGGGTGACGGGTATGGACCATGGAGTGCCTCGCTCGTCCCTTCGAGCACAAATTCAGGATGTGATTCACTATGTATAACTTGAACAACAAATTTAAGATAAACATTTTCTAAAAAAAATTAAATATTTAATATTATGATCATAAATTTTGTTAAACTTTATGAGCAACACAAGATTTCCTGCAAAGGTTTGAGATATAATTCCACATTTAACTAATTATCAGCAAAATACACACGTTCAAAATGGGTCTCGTCACACCATATGGAATACATAGGATATGTATCAAATTTTGTTCAAAACAAAGATGGTGTAGACAACATTTTGCAGCGGAAATGTGACAGATTCAGGTGTGAGCAAAATGCATGTGAGTAAGAATATGTGTGTATTTCTTGTCATGAAAAAATATAAAAATAATAATAATTTCTTCATGTCAACATGGATAATATAAGGGTCAGCAATTCCATCTCAGATTCACAGTCATATAATTCTCCCCCTCTATCACCACATTCCCCTTTATGTAGTAGGAGACTTAATTTCTCCCCATCAGCAACCATAACTCCCTCCTCCTACAAGCATACCACTTCCAAAATACCAGTCCAACGCTACTCCTATCCAACTACAGTCCCATAAAAGAAGAAGAACAGGAATTCCAAGTTTCTCAAGCCTACAGTTGAGGGATGCAATAAGACTATTGCAGCAACAGTTTCTCCAACTCATGCCAAGTGGACCACATCCCCCTACTTTCAACCACTATCTTCACTCAGTGATCCTGGTTGCAGCATCCAGCCAGTCAATAAAAGGAACATGACAGCAAGAAGCTTGAAGAAATTGCAAGGATGAAAGAGAATGCCAAACCTGGGTTGATGCCGAAGGGTTACTCAGTTGACTCAAAGCATCTTGGAGGTCATTTCTCTCCACCTTTCTCATGATTTCTCTCCTCATATGGAATATTAGAGGGTTGAACCAACCCGCTAAACAATCAAAGATTAAGAAATTAATCTCTGAGAGAAAACTGGATATTGTTTCCATAGTGGAAAATAAGGTAGCTAAGCTGAATGTGGCAGCTATCCACAGATTTATTGCCTCTAACTGATCTATTACAGACAACTATTCTTTCTCTGAATTAGGAAGAATATGGATTATGTGGAACCCAAGCAATGTTAATCTCTCAGTTCTTAACTGCAGTAGACAAGCAATCCATTGTTCCATCTCAGTTATTGGTCAACATACCTCATTTTTCACTACCTTCATCTGTGCTGCTGATTGTGCCAATGAAAGACAGATCCTATGGGATGATATAATCCACCATTCAGCCATCTTTGCAGACTCTCCATAGCTATTAATGGGGGATTTCAATGCCATTCCCAATATAGGAGAGAAATTTGGTGGTTCAAGGAAATGGTCATCAGCTATGACAGATTTCAAGGAGTGTCTCCAATCTGCAGAATTGGAGGACCTAAAATTCTGTAGTATTCTCTATTCTTGGTCCAACAAAAGTATAGGAGAAGCTTGCATTGCAAAGAAACTCGACAGGGCTTTGGTTAACCAAAGGTGGACATCCTCATTTCCAATTTCAGAATGCAATTTCCTCACCCCAGGCATCTCTAATCATAGCCCAATCTTGATTACAATTGACCTCAACTCACCAAAGAGGTATATACCCTTCAGGTTCTTTAATGCATAGACCACTCACCATGATTTCCACTCTTCAGTTCTTAAGGCTTGGAACACTTACATCAAAGGAACTGCAATGTTCCAAGTTGTCCAAAAACTCAAGTTACTTAAACCTATCCTAAGAATTTCATGTGCTAGAGAGTCTACAGACTTAGAGTTAAAAATGCATGCTGTGCAACTGGAACTCCAAACTTGCCAAATGGACCTGGATGCAGCACCTGGTGACACCATTCTCAGAGGAATTGAAAGGGCTTTAACAACAGATCTCTTGAGATTGGGGAGACTACAAGAGGATACTCTAAGGCAAAAG